TGGGAACAGTGTGAAGCTCGATTCATCGGACCATATTACAATCTTCCATTGATCGATAGTCCATGAATTATGGGTGTTGCACCACTCGCTCCTCTTCTGAGCAGCATTAACATCGGTCACACATTCCCCCAGACACCCTCCAGACTCTCCCCTGTGGTTTCACAATTGCAGCTCGCCCGTGAATGTCTTGCTTATGGAGTGCCTTCTGTACAGTTTTTGTGGACACAGGCTTTGGAAGACTGAGATTGAGCTCTGCAGTCACTTTTGCAGCAGTTATTTTCTTATCCTAGGTCACAATCCTGCGCAATGTCCCTTTTTGTCTTTCGGCCAGTTGACCGCGTTGTATAAAAACTGTATACGCCGTCATAACTTTTGATACTATACCTTGTGACACCACAAATAAATTGGTAACTTCAGTTACAGAGGCACCAGCTAAGCAGCACCAATAATTTGTCCTCTTTGAAGCTCAGTAGGGTCTGCCATGACTCCATATTACTAGCAGCGCAGGCAGTGAATGATGAAAGTGAGGCTTTTCACCTGTTGGCTAGGTGTCTCATCACACAGCGGAAGCAAAAGCACTTTCAATGCAAAACGTCGTGACTTTCAAACCTGCATTTTTTTTTTGCAGAACCTTGCAGAGGGCTCTAAATGTAGATCGTTTTCAGTGCAGTAAACCAAGGGAGTCATCTGGAGATGCCGTATTGTGCATTAGATGTAAGGCGCAGCTTTGTACAGAAATATAACACAGTCAGTAACAGGAGTAGGGCAATGAGGATTCTGGGAGATTGTGAATACTCTGTTGGCATGTGTAACAGAACCGTCCCCAGACTGCAGTTGGGTACTTCCGTTAGGATACCGCTTCCCCGTCCGAACACCGACCACAGACCCCACAGCAGGCCATACAAGACTAGAGGACACCAGTCTTGAAGTAAACCAGGAAATAGACTATTTTATTTTAACACAGATACGAGATATATACATTCAAGGGAACAACCCCCCCCCCCCCCCCCTCCCTGCATAATTATTATTATACAGTATTTATATAGCACCAAAGAGTATGCTCAGCGCTGTACAGTAGCAAGGCACAGTAATGACACAGGGTGGGACAATCTACCTTTTTAGTAACAAGAGACACACCAGCAGACAGTCCCATCAGGGGGAAGGCTGCTGGAAACATCCCCCACCAAGCCAATATACAAACACATACATCCCATAACAGTTTGCTCTCAAGCAAGACACAATAGAACAATGGGATGCAACCACATGGCATTAAACAATCAACAACCCCCCACCCCAATATTAGGACAGATCACCCTGTACAGGCACAGGGTGACTTACACATAATAGGGATATGGGGAGTTGAGACAGGGGTCTCCCCACCTCTCCAAAGTGAGCTGTGTTCCATGGGCCCCCCCCCCACCCAAAGTGACTCCCGTCACAGCATGATTGCAAGAACTAAGAATTCATTTTTTTATTGGCCTTTTTTTATAAAACCCTTTTCTGTTCCAGCATGGCCATGGCCCTGTGCACACAGCCAGCTCCATACAGACATGGGTTGTTGGGTTTGGTGTGGAGGAACTCTAGTGTTCTGCGCAGAGCCCTGACCACATTCCCTATGAACGCGTTTTGGATGAATTGGAAGGCAGACTGATAGCCGGGTCTTCTCATCCAACATCAGTACCTGACCTCACAAATGTTCTTCTGGCTGAATAGGCACATATTCCCCCAGACACCCTCCAGACTCTTTTGTAGAAAGTTTTCCTAGAAGAGTGAAGGCCTTTATAACTGCAAAGAAGAGGCCAGCAACATTTTAGTGCCCCTGACTTTGGAACAGGATAGCCTCAAACACTTGGCCTTCTAGTTTAAATCTGAGTTGTAACCTAAATGCGTTTTGGGGATATCACAAAGTCATAAATCAGCAAAACAAATATCAGACCTGGAACACCATTCCAGTGAAGAAGGCATAAAGTTTGTTTCCTGATCCGATAGTAACCAGTCTCGTTGGGCATACTCGACCTATAGGCACCCATAGAAGAGTATTTTAACAATGTGGACCAAAAATGGGAAGTTCTGCTTTACTGGTCCCTTGCTCCCTGTGAGGAACTGGCACCTTTGGGGAGCGGGGTGTAGGGGGTGGGGGGTAGCGGCGGGTACCTGATTTTGACAGGTACCAGCTCCCGTTTCGTAAATTGACTGCACTATATAAGTACCTGAAATGAAATAAATAATTAAAAAATAAACCTTGAAGCAGATGGGCTACAGCAGCAGAAGACCACACCAAGTAGCAAGGTGTACTTAAAGCGGAGCTCCACCCAAAAGGGGAAGTTCCGATTTAAGTCTTTGTCCCCCGCTCCCCATTAAGGATTGGCACCTTTGGGGAGCGGGTACCCAAATTTGACAGGTACCCGCTCCCACTTCCGCTGCCACCGCCTAGATCAGGGGTAGGCAACCTGTGGCTCCCCAGCTGTTGTGGAACTACATTTCCCATGAGGCATTGCAAAAGATTACAAAACTGACAGTTACAGCTATGACTTGCAGAGGCATGATGGAACTTGTAGTCCTGCGGCTCTCAGGTTGCCTACCCCTGGCCTAGGTGATCGGAAGCGGAAGTTGTCCTCCCCCCTCTCTCCCCGTAGCCTTCTGGGACACGTGACAGGTACCCGAAGACTACGGGGCCCTTCATAAGGTGCAGCGCTTCTCCCGCATGCACAGTGGGTATGCAAGCTGTCACCGCTGAACACCCACACTTAAGATGCCGGCGCTGGGGAGCGAGAACGGCCAGTGAAACCGGCTGCGTTGAGGACAGGTAAGTGTCTGTTTTTTAAAAGTCAGCTACAATTTTAGTAGCTGCTAACTTATTTTTTTTTTTTTTTAGCTTTGACTCCACTTTAAGCAAAAGGGTGCCGTGACTTCATTTGGACTCCAATGTAAGGGAAAGGAAACTGGGAACTGTCACTAAAGTGATTCTAACTATTTTTTTTTTTTTTTCGACTTACACTTACCTACTAAGATGTCACACTTACCTACTATGTGTAATGGTTTTTCATAGAGCAGCCCCAATCCTCCTCTTCTCAGGTCCCCCGCTTGCGCTCCTGGCCCCTCCCCCCCCCCCTGCTGAGCGTCCCCATAGAAAGCCGCCTTCTATGGGGACACTCTTGCAGGGTCGCTTCTGAGCTTCTGTGTGTCCATTGGCACATAGAGCGTGGCTTAGCCCCACCCCCTGCTCTCTCTCTTCACTGGCTGTGATAGGCAGGAGCAAATAGCTTGCACTGCTGCCTCTCTGTCCACTGAAGAGAGAGAAGACTGCTGTTCTTGTACACATTTCTGGATCATGATCGGGCTCAGGTGAGTATAAAGGGGGGTCTGGGGGGAGCTTTATGCAGAGGGGGTTTTTTTTTTTTTTTACCTTAATGAAGAGAATGCACTGGGATAACAAAACCTTCTGCCTTTAGATCCACTTTAAGAACAGATATTTTGCTTTTGTGTGTTCTTTGTCTTATGCTCGCCATATGCATTACAATCCTTGTATGGTTTCTTTTGATGTACCAAAATGGCAGTTAGGCCATCAGACTATAGGATTGATCTACTAAGGGTCCTTTCACATGGGTCAGACCTGTTTAGCAGATCGACTTGCTCAGCGGGGGATCTCTCCGCTGATCCCCACTGACCAAGCAGATGACAGCTCTGTGTCTGCTTCGCTTCTGCAGAGCAGACACAGAGCTGCTCGCTCTCCTCAGTGGGTGGTCAGATGAAAACGGGACCATCTGCCCATTTTCATGCAACTCGATCCAGCGGACAGAAGGGGAATTGGATCCCCATCTGTCCCTTTTTGGCAGATCGGATGTCGGCGGGTGTAAACAGACACATATCCGTTTTAAACCCGCTGCTCCATAGAGGAGAACAGAGGTTCCGATCGGGTCCGCCTGAAAAACGCCCTAATGCCCCTTTCACACGGGTGTGCCGTATGTCTGCTTTTCATCTGTCCGTTTACGGATGAAAAAAAGGACCCCCATGTATTTCTATGGACTTGCGGATGTAAACGGATGAACATCTTTTTACATCCGTTAATGTCCGCATCCGTTAACATCCGTTTTTTTGAATGGAAGAAAACCTTATTTTTCTTCCACAAAAAAATGGAATGGACAAAAAAAAACGATGTCAACGGATATAAACGGACCAAAATGGATGGATGTCAATGGATGTAAACAGATGAAAAAAAATTTATGTGAATGGATGAAAATGCGGATGTAAACTCATCAGTTTTTTCTTTGAAAAAACGTGACTGAACTGAAGAAAAAAAACATAACGCCCGTGTGAAAGGACCCTTAGGGCTCGTTCACACTTGGCTATTTTACCAACGCTTGCCAAACGCCCCTATAGCGTTTGCGGAGCGTTTTTTAACACTCAGCAAACGCTCCGCATGCGCGGTTTAGCGGAAGTTGCTAGGCGTTTGCTGAGTGTTAAAAACGCCCCACAAAGTTTGAATGGTGTTACCGCTCCGCAAACGCCCTGCAACTGCGTCGCAACCGCACCGTGGAGCAGCACCATAGACTAGAATAGGAGGCTTCAACGCCTCCTGACTCGACCAGAGGCGTCCGTTTTGCCGCGCCGCAAACACTTCCGTTAGAACAGCACCATGTGGTGTAATGTGCAGAATTGGCAGAGACGTTTGGGAAGCGGTAAAAACGCTTCCCAAACCAGCCTCTCTGCCGCCTGCACACAACGCTAGTGTGAACGTAGCCTAAAACTGGAGAACTCAGAATCTGGTGCAGCTGTGCATGGCAGCCAATCAGCTTCTAACTTCAGCTTGTTCAATTAGGCTTTGACAAGAAAACCTGGAAGCTGATTTTTTTTTCTTTTTTTTTTTTCCGCAGAACTGTACCAGATTCCACACTCTCCAGTTTTAGTACAGAACCCCCTATGTGTCTAGTAGAGTGAAATGAGATTTTACTTTCAAATGAAGTCCCAGTGGTCATTATCTAACACTCTCTTCTTTTTTTATGCAGGCAAAGGGAGACGTACACAGCCTCCGTGGTCATCCCCAGATGCATCAGAACAACCCAAACTGCGCTTGTACAACAGTCTAACCCGGAATAAGGTGCAAAATGCTGCGTTTGTGTTCTTAAAATGTTCAAAGAAGAAATGGGAGGGAAACGTGATATATTGTCCACAAGTCAAAGATTTGGCTGATCCGACTCTTTAGCTATATTTAGGAGTTTACCCAGGATGCCATAAGGCCTGAGTTTTAGTGTGATGCTGTTTCCTCGCTCCAGAATCATTCTCTGTGGCGATGTTTTTCTTGCTGTGTAGACATTATATTATACCATCCCAGACTTGCTCTTTGCTGCAGTTCCAATCCTTGTTTCTGCTCCATCTCTCTTGACCTTAAAGGGTAACTCCAATTTCATGGGTAAAAAAATTAGCAAATAAAAATATAGTGTATACAATTGCAACTCAAGTCATATTGTATTCTTAAAAATTACCTTTTTTTTTTTTTTTTTTTCAATCTTCAGCACTGTAAGTTTCTTTAAAATGCAATATGACTAAATGCAAAATAAAAGGCGAGCGCTGAAATCTAAAAGCTGCTAGCACAAAGGGTAAGGGCAACAAATCCTATAAAACATATAATGAAGTGCAGCGCAAAACAAGTCATCATTAAGAGCAAAATTGACAATATAAATACATGAACAAAGTTGCCAATAAAGTGTGTAAACGGTAATAAAGTGATACCTATATGTCCGTCCAATAATAAAGTGATACCTATATGTCCATCCAATAATAAAGTGATACCTTTTATGTCCATCCAATAATAAAGTGATACCTATATGTCCGTCCTTTAATAAAGTGATACCTATATGTCCGTCCAATAATAAAGTGATACCTATATGTCCGTCCAATAATAAAGTGATACCTATATCTCCGTCCAATAATAAAGTGATACCTTTATGTCCATCCAATAATAAAGTGATACCTATATGTCCATCCAATAATAAAGTGATACCTATATGTCCGTCCAAACGTTTCCTGTAGTTGCAGATCAGACCTGCACAATGATCTGGAGTCATTTTGGACCACTCCTCTTCACAAAACTGTTTCAGTGTAGCAATATTCTTGGGATGTCTGGTGTGAATCGCTCTCTTAAGGTCATGCCACAGCATTTCAATGGGGTTGAGGTCAGGACTCTGACTGGGCCACTCCAGAAGGCGTATTCTGTGCTGTTGCAGCCATTGTTTTGTTGAATGACTTGTATGCTTTGGGTCATTGTCCTGTTGCATCACCCATCCTCTGCGGAGCTTCAGTTGGCGGACAGATGGTCGTACGTTTTCCTGCAAAATGTCTTGATAAACTCTGGAATTTATTTTCCCATCAATGACAACAATCCGTCCAGGCCCTGAGGCAGCAAAGCAGCCCCAAACCATGATGCTCCCTCCGCCATGTTTCACAGTGGGGATGAGGTTTTGATGTTGGTGTGCTGGGCCTTTTTTTCTCCACACATAGTGTTGTGTGTTCTTCCCAAACAACTCAATCTTGGTTTCATCTGTCCACAGTATATTCTGCCAGTAGTGCTGTGGAACATCCAGGTGCTCTTTTGCAAACTTCAAACGTGCTGCAATCTTCTTTTTGGCCAGCAATGGCTTCCTCCGTGGTGTCCTCCCATGTACTCCATTCTTGTTTCATGTTTTCCTTATTGTAGATGTGTCAACAAAAATGTTAGGATGTGCCAGAGATTTCTGTAGGTCTTTAGCTGACACTCTGGGATTCTTCTTTACCTCATGCAGCATTCTGCGCTGTGCTCTTGCAGTCATTTTTACAGGACGACCACGCCTAGGGAGAGTAGCAACAGTGCTAAACTTTCTCCATTTGTAGACAGTCTGTCTTACCGTGGACACAGGAACATCAAGGCTTTTGGAGATACTTTTGTAACCCTTTCCAGCTTCATGCAAATTAACAATTCTTGATCGTAGGTCTTCTGAGAGCTCTTTTCTGAGAGGCATGGTTCACATCAGACAGTGCTTCTTGAAACCAGTAAACCCAAAACAGGTGTGTGTTTTTTAAGGGCAGGACAGCTGTCAGCAACACATCCAATATCATCACACTGATTGGAGTCAAGGTTGGCTCACTCCTGGCTCCAATTAGCTCTGGGCGAAGTCATTAAGCTAGGGCCTCACATACTTTTTCCTCCCTGCACTGTGAATGTTTACATATTATGTGCAATTAAACCATGGCAACATCTAATGTTTGTGTAGTATTATGTTCAGCAGACTGTGTTCTTCTATTGTTGTGACTTAGATGAAGTTCACAGCACATTTTATGCCCAATTCATGCAAAACTCCACGTAATCCCAAGGGGTTCACATACTTTTTCTTGCAACTGTATATCTCCGTCCAATAATAAAGTGATACCTTTATGTCCGTCCAATAATAAAGTGATACCTATATCTCCGTCCAATAATAAAGTGATACCTTTATGTCCGTCCAATAATAAAGTGATACCTATATGTCCGTCCAATAATAAAGTGATACCTTTATGTCCATCCAATAATAATAAAGTGATACCTATATGTCCATCCAATAATAAAGTGATACCTATATGTCCGTCCAATAATAAAGTGATACCTTTATGCCCGTCCAATAATAAAGTGATACCTATATCTCCGTCCAATAATAAAGTGATACCTTTATGTCCGTCCAATAATAAAGTGATACCTTTATGTCCATCCAATAATAAAGTGATACCTATATGTCCGTCCAATAATAAAGTGATACCTTTATGTCCGTCCAATAATAAAGTGATACCTATATGTCCGTCCAATAATAAAGTGATACCTATATCTCCGTCCAATAATAAAGTGATACCTTTATGTCCATCCAATAATAAAGTGATACCTATATGTCCGTCCAATAATAAAGTGATACCTTTATGCCCGTCCAATAATAAAGTGATACCTATATGTCCGTCCAATAATAAAGTGATACCTTTATGTCCGTCCAATAATAATGTGATACCTTTATGTCCGTCCAATAATAAAATGATACCTATATGTCCGTCCAATAATAAAGTGATACCTATATGTCCATCCAATAATAAAGTGGAGTGTAAAAACACTAATGAAGGAAGTGTCTGTGGTACTACAAGGCACAGCAATACCAGTGTTTAATTTCCAGTGCTCTTAAAGAGGAGCTCCACCCAAAAGGAGAAGTTCCGCTTTAAGGACTGCTCCCCATTAAGGATTGGCACCTTTTGGGGGGTACCCGAATTTGACAGGTACCCCAGCTCTGTACAGAGCAATACAAAAGCAGCGTGCTGGAGCTGACGGGAGAGATCTGTATGGTTTACATACAGACCTCTCGCCTGTGGGTGATACTCGGCGATCGCCGGGTGCCAGCGGAGAATTGCTGGCCAGGACCAGGTGATCAATAGCTGTAGCCACCAATGGTGGCGTGGGTAGGGCGCACGGGCTCCTCCTACCCGGAAATGCAAAATCACTTGTATAAATACGTGATTTTGTGCAGCCCTGCCACCCTGTAGCAGTAGTTCTGCTATAGGGCGGTCGGGCAGCAGTTAAGGGGGGTGTTAAAGTAAATATTTTGTTTTTATTTCTCCCATAGGAAGTCTTTGTTCCACAAAATGGCAAAAAGGTCACATGGTATTGCTGCGGACCCACTGTATACGACGCCTCACACATGGGACATGCACGGTATGAATCCAAGTCACATAGATGGTTTTATCATTTTATAGGATGCTGAAATCACATATAGTTTGCGGTCTATTCACAGTTATCCTCGCCTACAGACAGCTGCAGAAACCTAAAAAAGGTGCACACTGTTAAATGGCATGCTGTACCTCAATCCCTTAGAAGTGACTGCAACACCAAAGGTTTAGGAATCCAAGAGTATGGATTTCACACAGAAGCTCATTGATAACAAGCCATCATGTTTAAATTCCCCCTTCATCATGGCTTCAATTGATTATTATTATTAGACGGTATTTATATAGCACCAAAAAGTTTGCTCAGCGCTGTACATTATAGTGGGGGACAGAACATGGGACAGTACAGTACAATACACGAGGGGTTTGAGGGCCCTGCTCCTTGGAGCTTACAATCTAGGAGGGGGGGATCGTGGTACAGGAGGAAGTGGCTGTGGGGGATGGAGTGGTAGGTAGGAGTGGAGGAGATCGGCAGTTAGGTGAGGGAGGGGTAGGCTTCCCTGAAGAGATGGGTTTTCAGGGTGCGCCTAAAGGTGAGGAGGGTAGATGACAGTCTGATGGATTGGGGTAGTGAGTTCCAGAGGATGGGGGAAGACCTGTGGAAGTCCTGGAGTCGGGCATGGGAGGAGGAGACCAGGGAACTGGAGAGTAGGAGGTCTTGTGAGGAGCGAAGAGTACGGGTTGGGTGGTATTTGGATATCAGGTCGGTGAGGTAGTTTGGGGCAGCGTTGTGAATAGCTTTGTATGTCTGTGTTAGTAGTTTGAATTTTATGCGTTGGGCAATCGGAAGCCAATGGAGGGAATGACAATGGAGCCAGTGGAGGGAATGACAGAGGGGGGGAGCCAGTGGAAGGAATGACAGAGGGGGGTGGCGGATACGGAGCGATTGGTAATTGATGGCTGGGAGAGAGTGTTGGACTCATAAGGGTTAATGTTTAATCTGCCTATAGTTTGCCTTCCCTGTTTCCTCCTTGCCCCCTCATTATCATACTCACACCTGTGCCAATCAGAGGAAGCCTTCTATGCATTGATAATAACCCCCGGTTCACACCCATGCGGCCATGCGGGCTGCGTTTTGCGCGGGCACGAGAGCCCATTCATTTGAATGGACTCCCGTGCCCGTGACAGGCAGGGAAGAAGTCCCTGCACTTCTTTTGAAAACGCAGCCCACACTGGAACCTCGGTTCCCAGTACAGTTGCGTTTTCCAGTGCAGGCGGCGTGCCATGAGAACTAATGTCACCCTCCCGCGGGTCTGCAATTCTCTGTGCGGGTGGTGCGGCTGCACGACTTTCATGTGGATCCGCAGCGGCACCACCCACACAGATGTGAACCTTGAGTTATACAGAGCTTCTCCTAAACGGCTTAGAAGCATTCATACCGACTCGATTTTCTTCTGGCTGCAGGTGGGTAGTCATCTGTGCAGTGCCACATATGGTATGTAGCTGATAACATCACATTTTGACACCATTTAGCAATGTAAATAGGGCCACTTACCTCACTGTACTGTCACTTGACTTCTGCTCGCGGAACTCACTGCATCATCCTTTATAAACTTTGGTTTGTGCTTTTTTTCAGGTCCTATATTTCTTTTGATATCCTGAGAAGAGTTTTAAAGGACTATTTTAAATACGATGTTTTTTACTGCATGAATATCACAGATATTGACGATAAGGTGAGTACTTTATATGTGTCCCGTGTCTAAAGGGACTTCTATGACCTGATAGTGGTGGTACAATTATAAAATGAAACATTTATTGAAATTAATATTGACCGGTTTAAATTTAAAATGTTATCAAAACCATTTGTTTACCAGGGATCCCGCTGTTATCAGGCATCTGTCACTGGAGTGAGAATATCCTTAACCTCTTGCCGTGCACCTGCTGTTTATAAACGGCAGGGTGGTGGCAGTCCAGGGGCGGGTTGCTGTTCATAAAAAACGGCACCTGCCTTTCTAGCTGTGCGCGCTCCCTGGGAGCGCGCAGCACCGCGATCTGGTGCCCGCTGTGTCCTCCGGACACAGTGGAACACCGATCGTCTGTACGAGGTCCCGATCATGTGATCACTGATTGGCGAATCAGTGATCACATGCAAAGTAGTAAGCAAGATGTCACTTGTGACATCATTGCTTACTACGTGTGAAATCTGTGAATGATCACAGAGGTCACATGGTACAAGGCTATTCACAACAGCCTTGTACCATGTGACAAAGCTGTGACCAATCACAGCTCACTCAGTACTTCTCAATGACTGCAAGAATGCAGACAGAGAGAAAGAGAAATGATTGCTTTTACATCCTATAAGCCCTGTAAAAGCAATCCGTGTAAAAAAAAAAAAAAAAATCTTCACCCCCCACAAGTAGTACAGTGTCACCATGGTGACACTGTACTGCTAGGGTGACAGTATGTAAAAAAAATAAATAAATAAATAAAAAATAATATAAAAAAAAAAAATAAAAATGTAAAGAAAAATGTTTAAAAATTATAATTTTTGGTTATAAACTAATTTGGATTTTTTTTTTACTAAAAAAAATAACGGAATAAATTTTGGCCAAGATTTATGGTGAAATATTATTTATTTGCAAAATTTTATTTAAAAAAAAACATTTTTTTTTTCAAAATTTTTGGACTTTTTCATTTACATAGTAAAAAAAATTCAAATCCCAGCGGTGAATAAATACCACCAAAATAAATCTTTATCTGTCTCAAACAAATGGTAAAAAATTCATATGGGTACAGTATTGCATGACCGCGTAATTGTCATTCAAAATGTGATAGCGCTGAAAGCTGAAAATTGCCCTGGACAGGAAGGGGGTAAAAGTGTCCCAACAGGAAGTGGTTAAAGCGGAGTTCCACTCACACTGTCAAAAAATAACAGTCAGCTACAAAAACTGTAGCTGCTGACTTTTAAAAAAAACAGCCACTTACCTGTCCCTCGGTCCCGTGGTGTGTCCCCCACAGTCCGTTTCACTGGCTGCCCTGTATTCCAGGAGACTGGCATCTTCAGTGTGGGCACCCGGCTGTGATAGCTTGCCGCTTCACAGCCGGGTACACACTGCGCATGCGTGAGTAGTGCTGCGCTACCTGAATGGTCCTGTAGTCTTCTGGGACCTGTCACGTGTCCCAAAAGACTACAGGGAGGGAGGACACCTTCCGTTTCTGATTTCCTAGGCAATTGGATCAGAAGTGGGAGCGGGTAGCTGTCAAATTTGGGTTCCCTGTTCCACCCCGCTGCCCACAGGTGCCAATCCTTAATGGGGAGCGGAGGATCAGTCCTTAAAGCGAAACTTCTCCTTTTGGGTGGAACTCCGCTTTAAGCCCTGGTTCACACTGATGCGGTGCAAAATTTGCAGCATTTTCAGTGCAAATTCCGCACCGCATCAGAATCGCACCCCGTTCATGTGAACCGCTGCGGGTGTGTATGTTAACTCAACAACACCCCGAAAGTGGTCCGCAAAACGCAGTGCGATGTGCAGAATCGGATCACATAGGTGTGAATACCCATGCGATCCAATTCTAGTGCGGACCAAAAAAGGGTCTTGCTGGTTTTTGGTGCGGGTGCGGTGCGATTAGAGACATACAAATTGTATGGCTCCAATCGCACCGCACACAAATCGCATGTGATTCGCACAGGAATGCGGTGCGGGTCCCTGTGTGAATCACATGCGATATACTGCACCGCATATAAGTGAACCAAGACTGAACATGCAATGGGCTGCATTTTCTGAAGTGTCTTATGAAAGAATCTTTGGTAAATCTGGACTATTCTCTAACTGGATCAAATCTTGGCCGGATCAGCATGGACTGGCCGAGATTCAGTCCATGTATGGGCAGGCTGGTTATACTGAAGTCAATCCATCGATCGACTTTAGTACAACCAGCTTGTCAGATTTTTTTAAATGCAATCGCTATTGCTATTGCCGCCAGTAGTGACCATTGTGTAATGCCATCAGGGGAAGGCCAGCACAACACAATAGCGCTGCGGGAGGGATTCCCCGATCAGCATTGACTGTGTTGATGAGGGAATATAGCTATTTTCTTTTCTTCCACCCATGGAAATTGCATATTCTTTAGCCTGATTTAGTAAGAATGCGCTCTTCTTTACAGTGAGATAGCTGCTGTAGTCTCGGAAGAGCGCAGATCAGGGATTTATTTAAAGGGGCTCAGAAAAGAGTTGCGTCACAGGTTGATATTAGGAGCTAGAGAGGAGACATTACACAGACTGAAGCCAGGGGCCCGGGGAGAGGGGGAGGCACTGCACACACTGAAGCCAGGGGCCCGGGGGAGGGGGAGGCACTGCACACACTGAAGCCAGGGGCCCGGGGGGAGGGGGAGGCACTGCACACACTGAAGCCAGGGGCCCAGGGAGGAGACACTGCACAGACTAAGGTCAGGGGCCCGGGGAGGAAACACTGCACAGACTAAAGCCAGGGGCCCGGGGAGGAGACACTGCACAGACTGAAGTCGGGGGCCTGGGGAGGAGACACTGCACAGACTGAAGTCGGGGGGCCGGGGAGGAGACACTGCACAGACTGAAGTCGGGGGCCTGGGGAGGAGACACTGCACAGACTGAAGTCGGGGGCCCGGGGAGGAGACACTGCACAGACTGAAGTCGGGGGCTCGGGGAGGAGACACTGCACAGACTGAAGCCAGGGGCCCGGGGAGGAGACACTGCACAGACTAAAGCCAGGGGCCCGGGGAGGAAACACTGCACAGACTGAAGCCAGGGGCCCGGGGAGGAAACACTGCACAGACTGAAGCCAGGGGCCCGGGGAGGAGACACTGCACAGACTAAGGCCAGGGGCCCGGGGAGGAGACACTGCATAGACTGAAGCCAGGGGCCCGGGGAGGAGACACTGCACAGACTGAAGCCAGGGGGCCCGGGGAGGAGACACTGCACAGACTAAGGCCAGGGGCCCGGGGAGGAGACACTGCATAGACTGAAGCCAGGGGGCCGGGGAGGAAACACTGCACAGACTGAAGCCAGGGGCCCGGGGAGGAGACACTGCACAGACTAAGGCAGGGGCCCGGGGAGGAGACACTGCATAGACTGAAGCCAGGGGCCCGGGGAGGAGACACTGCACAGACTGAAGCCAGGGGCCCGGGTAGGAGACACTACACAGACAGAAGCCGGGGCTGCAGGGGCAGGAGACTCTGCACAGACAGAAGCCAGGGCTCCAGGCAGGAGACTCTGCACAGACAGAAGCCAGGGCTCCAGGCAGGAGACTCTGCACAAATTAAAGCCAGTGGCCCGGGGAGGTCACATTGCACAGATATCACAAAGGGCCCAGTAAAGAGACACTGTACAGACTGATGCCATGGGAGAGACAAGACACTGCATAGACTCACACAATGACATTAGAGCAGAAAGCGGTTTTTCCCTTACTATGTCTATGTGATATGTTAATTACAGTTTTTTAATTTTAAAAATTTTTTTCTTCCTTTCTTTAAATATGCAGATAATTAAACGAGCCAGGCAGAACTATTTGTTCCAGCAGTACAAAGAGAACCAACCTCAGCCGGATGCATTACTGAAGGATGTGAAGACCGCCCTGGTGGTATGTGCAAAGTGTTCTGCAGCTGCTGTTTCTGGGGACATGCAGAGCATACTCGGCCTACATACATTTCTCTTGAAGCAAATGCCACAGAACCTCAGCTGATATTTCCTCTAGTGTGGTTTAAAGTGTAAACTTGGGGAAAAAATGTGCAGAACATCTCTGCATCACATGTATTTTCCCCATATGCCTGTATAACCAAAATTATCATTTAAAAAAAATTTTTTTTACATTTTTACTTATTTTTTTTTTATATATTTATTTTGTTTTTTTTTTTTTTTGTTTTTTTTTTTTTTTTTAAACATACTGTCACCCTAGCAGTACAGTGTACTACTTGTGGGGGTGATGAAGATTTTTTTTTTTTTTTTTTTTTTTTTTTACACTGATTGCTTTTACACCCATAAAGGCTGTAAAAGCAATCATTTCTCCTTCTCTCTGGCTGCATTCTTGCAGCCATTGAGAAATACTGTGAGAACTGTGATTGGTCACAGCTTCTCACATGGTAAAAGGCTGTTGTGAGTAGCCCTGTACCATGTGATCTCTGTGATCATTCACAGATTTCACTAGTAGTAAGCAATGATGTCAAAAGTGACATCTTGCTTACTACTATTCATGTGATCACTGATTGGCCAATATTTTGTGATCACATCAGCTGGACCTCACACAGCGGGACCTCACACAGAGACACAGTGGGCCCTAATCTGGGTGCCGCGGTGCTTCTCTATGTTGAATGATTTTAATGATTTTACCCAGTACTGTGTCTGTTTTGTGGTTTACATTTAATGTTGATTATCGCACAATAGCAATCGTGTTCACTGTTGTAAAGTTTAAGGGATTCACATACGTGGACGTTTTTCAGCGTGATTTTTTTTCTCACACAAGACACAGAAAGCACTGGTTCGGAGGTTCCGCGCGAAAAAATAAAGGGAGCCATCACAGGCTAAAAGTGACATCTTGCTTACTACTATTCATGTGATCACTGATTGGCCAATCAGTGATCACATGATCGGGACCTGGAGGACACAGCGGGCACCGGATCGCGGTGCCGCGCGCTCCCAGGGAGCGTGCACAGCCAGAAAAAGCGGGTGCCATTTATGAACGGCAACCCACTCCTGCACTACTCCCGTCCCTCCGTTTTATGTACATGGGTCGGACGGGAAGTGGATAAATGCTTACCTGTATGTAAAACATAAAAAAAAAAGACTTTACTACCACTTTACGTCTTATCTAAAACTAATAAAGTCAGTTTTGGTGTGGCAAATATTTTAAAGACGAATATGTCCTATCCCTATTTTGTAGAAATGTACTTTTAATTGGGGGGTTTTCATTTTTGGCTTGTATTTCATGTAAAGAAAGCTTACTAGCCATCATCTAATGTACAGTTTAAAAATAAAGCTCCTGGAGTTCCTTTGTAAACCTGTATATTATATTTCAAGCGTATTTTGATATAGCACCAAAGAAGGCACAGACATAACGTTTCTTTGTTGTATCATTGTGTCACCCCAGCCATTTGTGCGAAAGTTGAATGAGACAACCGACCCGGACAAGAAGCAGATGCTGAAGAAGATCCACGATGCAGTGACAGCTGCCATCCATCCTTTGGAAGAAGCGATCAGTAAATCGGACCCTCCGGAGGATATTAAGAGTTCTGCACAGGTCAGTCTGGTCACATGACCCGTCTGCCTAAGTGCACACAGTGCTTCATGCAGGTTACTTCACTCACCATGCACAGAGCGTTTTGCACTTTTTTCCTGCACATCTTACTACCATCGCCATAGCTGCTGTTCTCAGATGCATTATATGTGTGTATATTACTGACAGACTAAAAAGCAGTTTGTGATTTTTCTCTGCTAGTGCAGAAATATATGAAGCTTGACGCAGGAATCTGACTTTTATCTTGAAAGCTTACACCTTTAAAGAAAGATTCCAGGTATGACATGTTTTTATTGGTCCGGATTGGACCAATGTAACTATGCATGATCCATACCTGGCCGAGCCCACTAGAACAGGGGTGTCAAACTCAATTTCATTGCAGGCTGCATCAGCATTATTGTTGCCCACAAAGGGCTGGTTGTACAGTATCTCCCAGAAGTGAGTACACCCCTCAAATTTTTGTAAATATTTGATTCTATCTTTTCATGTGACAACACTGAATAAATGACACTTTGCTACAATGTGACGTAGTCAGTGTACAGATTGTATAACATGTAAATTTGCTGTCCCCTCAAAATAACTCAACACAGCCATTAATGTCTAATTAGCCATTTTCTCTCCCCGGTGTCATGTGACTCGTTCGTGTTACAAGATCTCAGGTGTGAATGGGGAGCTGGTGTGTTAAATATGGTTATATCGCTCTCACTCTCTCATACTGATCACTGGAAGCTCAACATGGCACCTCATAGCAAAGAACTCTCCGAGGATCTGAAAAAAAATAATTGTTGCTCCTACATAAAGATGGCCTAGGCCAGTGATGGCGAACCTATGGCACGCGTGTCAGAGCTGGCACGCAGAGTCATCTCAGTGGGCATGCCAGGAAGAAGAGGAAGAACGAGCTCTCCTGCGCACCCCCGGGGGAGCGCACCGGGCGATCTGTGTCCTACGGACACAGCTGATCACGCGACGTGGTAAAAGGCCAATCACAGCGTGTCCAATGACACGCTGATCACCGGGAATGCAAATGCCGGTTCTCGGCTGCACTTTCCTCACGCTGTCAGATCGTGAGGAAAGTACTGCCGAAAACCGGCAGTTGTCAGAGCAGGGAACAGCAGTTCCCTGATGATCGGTGCCCAGCAGTGCACACAAGTTCCGCCCACCTGTGCCCACCAGTGCCACCCACCAGTGCCCATCAGTGCAGCCAGTCAGTGCCACCAGTCAGTGCCCAGCGGTTGTGCCAGTCAGTGCCCAGCAGTGCCGCCAGTCAGTGCCCAGCAGTGATGTCAGTCAGTGCCACCTAACAGTGCTGTCTATCAGTACCCATTATCAGTGCCACCTATCTGTGACACACCTCCTTAGTGCTGCCCATCAGTGCCACCCATCAATGATGCCCAGCAGTGCCGCCGGTCAGTGCCGTCTGTCAGTGCCTCCAGTTGGTGCTATCAGTCAGTGCCCATCATTTCCTGCATGTCAGTGCATCATCAGTGCCTACTCATCAATGCTCACCAGTGCCGCCTCATCAGTGCTACCTATCTGTGCCGCCTAATCAATGCCCATCAGTGCTGCCTATCAGTGCAGCCTCACCAACGCACATCAAAGAAGAAATATTACCTGTTTGCAAAATTTTAGAATAGAAGCAAAGGAAGCCTTTTATGTTTTAAATTTTTTTGCTCTTTTCATTTATAGTGCAAAAAATAAAACACCCAGTGGTGATTAAATACCACCAAAAAAAGCTCTATTTGTGTGAAAAAAATGATAAAAATTGCATATGGTTACAGTGTTGCATGACCGCACAATTGTCATTGTTAAGTGCAACAGCACTGAAAGCTGAAAATTGTCCTGGGCAGGAGGGGTAGAAGTGCCCGGTAGGCAAGTGATTAATTCCAGTGTTAGCACTTTTGAAATAAAGTTGGTATTGTGTTGCAGTTTGGGCACTCGGGCTCAAAAAGGTTTGCCATCACTGGCCTAGGCTATAAGAAGATTGCCAAGACCCTGAAACTGAGCTGCAGCATGGTGGCCAAGACCATACAGTGGTTTAACAGGACAGGTTCTACTCAGAACACGCCTCGCAATGGTCGACCAAAGAAGTTGAGTGCACGTGGTCAGCGTCATATCCACAGGTTGTCTTTGGGAAATAGACATATGAGTGCTGCCAGCATTGCTGCAGAGGTTGAAGGGGTGGGGGGTCAGCCTGTCAGTGCTCAGACCATACGCCGCACACTGCATCAAATTGGTCTGCATGGCTGTCGTCCCAGAAGGAAGCCTCTTCTAAAGATGATGCACAAGAAAGCCCGCAAACAGTTTGCTGAAGACAAGCAGACTAAGGACATGGATTACTGGAACCACGTCCTGTGGTCTGATGACACCAAGATCAACTGATTTGGTTCAGATGGTGTCAGGTGTGTGTGTCGGCAACCAGGTGAGGAGTACAAAGACAAGTGTCTTGCCTACAGTCAAGCATGGTGGTGGGAGTGTCATGGTCTGGGGCTGCATGAGTGCTGCCAGCACTGGGGAGCTACAGTTCTTTGAGTGAACCATGAATGCCAACATGTACTGTGACATACTGAAGCAGAGCATGATCCCCTCCCTTCGGAGACTGGGCCACAGGGCAGTATTCCAACATAACGACCCCAAACACACCTCCAAGACCACCACTGCCTTGCTAAAGAAGCGGAGGGTAAAGGTGATGGACTGGCCAAGCATGTCTCCAGACCTAAACCCTATTGAGCATCTGTGGGGCATCCTCAAACGGAAGGTGGAGGAGCGTAAGGTCTCTAACATCCACCAGCTCCGTGATGTCGTCATGGAGGAGTGGAAGAGGCCTCCAGTGGCAACCTGTGAAGCTCTGGTGAACTCCATGCCCAAGAGGGTTAAGGCAGTGCTGGAAAATAATGGCGGCCACACAAAATATTGACACTTTGGGCCCAATTTGGACCTTGTCACTTGGGGTGGACTCAACTTTTGTTGCCAGCGGTTTAGACATTAATGGCGGTGTGTTGAGCTTACACTTTTGTACAAGCTCACTACGTCACATTTGTAGCAAAATGTCATTTCTTCAGTGTTGTCACATGAAAAGATAGAATAAAATATTTACAGAAATGTGAGGGTTGTACTCCAGTGAGATACTGTATAATAGATGTCCAGAGCATTACATCAGAAAACAAGAACGCCCCACCCTCCCTTGCATCACAGTGCACATCCCTTACCTTGTGCTGCTGCTGAGAAAAAGCTGGGGGCAGAGCTGGGAAGCAGAACGTGCAGGGTCTGGAGGAGGACCAGAGGATGACTGGAGTCTGCTGAATGCTGGGACTAAGAGGTGGAGACCAGGGGTGCCGCAGTTGCACAGAGAGGAGCAGGATCTGATCTGTATACTTGCCTATGCTGAGGGCGCTCCTGTCCAGTCACATGTTCAGGTCCCAGCGCTGGCTTCAGTGAAGAGACGAAATTGCATCCATAGGCTTACTATGAGGCATCCGTTGTCGGCTGCTCCTCCTATACACTGAAGCTGACACTGGGACCCGATCATGTGACCAGACCGGAGTGCCCTCGGAATAGGTTAGTATACAGATCTTTCCTTTCACAGGGTAGATGGAATAGGCTTAGAAATGGGGGTGGGAGTCGATTTAAGTATAGTTAGTGTTTGACTGGACTTCCAGATTAAATAGTAATTATTTACCAATGGCTCCTGCTGCTGTCAATCACAGCCATTGAAGAGGTAGCGGGGCCAAGCACTGCTCTGTGTGTCATTGGCCCCATAACAGGCGGCTGGTGAGGGGGAGGAGCCAGGAGAACCAACAGGGGGCACTGAGAAGAGGAGGATCAGGGCTGCTGTGCTGAAACTCATTTCATAGAGCAGGTAAATATGAGATGTTTTTTTTTTTAAAAAAAAAAAATCGAGCATTTACCATCACTTTACGTAACGCTGCAGCAGACCGAAGCCTGATGCTGACCATTTCTTCAATGTTTGTTTAGAATAAAAATGTGTCATCTACAGTGAAAAATCTTACCCCGAACTTTGCAAAGCTTTCTTAGTTTCCTGCTCCAGAATGCAGGCACAGAGGTCACAAATATAAAGAAGTATTGCTGCATAGACTTTGCTAATTAAGAGGCAATCTAATTTGCATCTATTTGTGCCACTAATTTGCTTCATACCCTTCCCCTTCCACCAGGATGTCAGTAGTAAGTATAACAGGATGTGATCTGGGTGATTGATAGGTGTGGAGTGCTATGTAATGTGTTAAAAAGAAGACACCGGGTGATTTGTATCCCTTAAAATCAGGGTGGATTTGATTGATTTAAATCATGATTTAAATCACGATTTAAATCGCTAGTCAGTAAGGCTTGATTTAAATCCTAGTTTTCTACATAAACTAATTCTTGCTGCTATAACTTTAATATACAAGTAGATGAAGATTTTTAGAATAACAACTTTTCAGATTAGTTTTTTTATCCCCAGTTTAATAGGTTAATCATTCATATTTGGACAACTTTTCTGTTGTACTTGGGAAGGAGAAAAAAAATAATCATTACCTTAATAATAACAATTTAAATAGATTTATTCAACTGAAACAATAACATTCCAGCATATGTGATTTGCTTAAACATCCATGTTTGTTAACTAATTTGGCTAAACAAAATATATATATTTTAAGAAACTTAGACTGTCAGCCCCTTCCTCCTCACACTTAGCTTCACTTTCTTCTTGTGCAGATCTATTCCACTCCAAACAATCAGAAAAATATTGTTTCTATTCACTGAACTTCTTGAAACTTAGCACTGAAGGGGCTGATTCTGTATTCATAGGTTTGTAGAAGTTAGGATGAAGGTCTTTTTCTTAACTCTGTTCATGTTATAACATTTTTGCTGTGAAGAAGAGGCATGTGATCTCCGCTGAGTCAAATTCAGTTTTGAGAACTGCAAAAGTAAACCAATCATCTGTGATAATATCTTGTAGGCAGAGAAACTGCCCAATAATCTTACAGAAACCTCTGGAAGAGCATGACATTGTGAATGGATTCATGGAATTTATTTACCAAAAAAATTAAACATATACAGCCTTATTCTACATAATTAAAAAACCTAATCTTTATTTCATGATGGAATGACCTTTGGATGGTAATATATTTTCCTCAAAAAGCATTTTATTTAAAAAAAAAATCGATTTTAAATAAAAAAAATCGATTTAAATAAAAAAAATTGATTTAAATTAAAAAAATCCGATTTTTTTATTTTTTATTTTTTTTAATCATTTGATTTTTATCCACCCTGCTTAAAATGAACCCTTACTAGTCTCCAGTGAGTGAAGTGTATATATTTTCCTGTAGGACCCTTACCATTTTTGCTTTTTTTTTTTTTTTTTGCTATGTAATCTAGATTTTACTGAAGGAATCATCAGATTTACTCTCTGATTGGCTGGATGCCCAGAAAGGAGGAGAAGTGACAGACAACTCCATCTTCTCGAGCTGCCCCAATTCTGGGAAGGAGAGTACCACAAAGACATGGATGCGCTGAATGTGAGTAAAGTTCCTATTGTCATAGAATATTTCCTTACCTATCGTTGTGCTGTATTAGAAATGCTAGTAAAATAAAACAAATGATATCCGCGCTGAATCTGAAAGTGTGAGGGAGCTGACACCACTAGGTAGTATACCACACCTAAATCAATGTGCATAAAGAATAAAAGTGTAGAGCCAATCATATAAAATAGTGTATGTAGTAAAACATATAATCAAAGGACATATGACAGAAATTCAAAAAACATCAAAATAAACATCCATAGAATCAAAAGTTCAGTGAAAAAAAACTTGATAATGACAATCCGTCATCATAAAAGTGCTCTTGCTTGCAGTAAAATAATTCACAAATGCCGTCACCATCTCTCTGTGAATTCAAAACTCACCAAAATTGATGACTGCCACTACAACAGCATGAATCCCTTGTCTAAACAGAAATTCCAAAGGTGCACGTGACTGGCAAGTGATTGTGTCCACAGGAACCACTCTGTCTGGACGGGCTGTGCCGCCTAACAGTGCCGTCAGAGCCGCCTATCAGTGCCAGTCAGTGCCATCTATCAGTGCCATATATGAGTGCTGACTTTCAGTGCCAATCAGTGATGCCTCAGTGGCATCAGTACCAGTGCTTCCTCATCAGCACCCATCATTTCCACCTATCAAGTGACCATCAGTGCCAATCACTGCAGCCTCATTAGCGCACATCAGTGAAGGAGGAAAATCACTTGTTTACAAAATTTTATAACAAAAACTAAGAAAAAACATTTTTTTTTTTTTTTCAAAATTTTCAGTTTTTTTTGGTTTGTTTAGTAAAACCAGAAGTGAAATTATAATTTTTGGTTATAAACTAATTTGGTTATTTTTGTTTTACTAAAAAAATACATTTTGGCCAAGATTTATGAAGAAAGATTATTTATTTGCAAATTTTTTTTAAGACAAACACTGTTTTTTTTCAAATGTTTGGACTTTTTCATTTATTAGCAAAAAAATAAAAAACCCAGTGGTGAATAAATACCGCCAAAAGAAAGCTTTATCTGCCTCAAAAAAAATTATAAAAATTTCATGTGGGTACAGTGTTGCACAGGGTGGACTGACAAACTCATGGGGCCTCCAGGCAATAGGGGATCATGGGCCCCTGTGTCCTTGCCCAAACTCAAAAAAGATTATGAGAAAGGTACCAGGAGCATCTCATGGGGCCCCCTACTGACCCCAGGCCCTCGGGCAGTGCCCGAGTTTCCAAATGGTCAGTCCGCCCCTGGTGTTGCATAATCACGCAATTGTCATTCAAAGTGTGACAGCACTGAAAGCTGAAAATTGGCCTGGGCAGGAAGGGGTATAAGTGCCCTGTAGGCGAGGGGTTAAACTCACTCTGGAGACACGGCCTACTTACTGATGAAATTTACAGCCTGGCGTTTGTATGCTGTTGGCTGATTTACTTGCTGAACCTGAGCCCAGGATAGTGCACGCTAGTGTGTTCTGAGCCCAGCCTTCTATAGTACTTTTAGCGGTAGGTTACAGATTACAAAATGTAAATATTCAAATATAAATTAAGTTTCATGGTAAATTGAAAACCTTTTCCCGACTTTTAGCACAGCTGCAATATTTCTAGAGTAGCATTGGCATTCAGGGGAATGGAGAAAGCACTAAACAACAACTGGGAGCTGTGACGTCACCCATAGGCTCCCCATGTCCCAATGGGTGCTCCTTGCTCTCCCCTGTAACTGCCACTGGGTGACAAAGGGGAGCCAGATCATGTGAGCGGACTGGAGTGGGCTGAAAATAGGTAAGTATCCACATCGTTCATGTACAGGTTAGTCGGCATAGATGTTTGGATAGGGGAGGGAGTACTTTTAAAACTAGTTAGGTTTATGCTGAATATCTACTAGTCCTAAAATAAGACCTTTTATAGTACTTAACCCCTTGGCGCCGGCCCTTTAAGGGTTACCGAAGCTGGGGGTGGGGTTTTAGGGTCATGTGACCGCCGTGATTCGCTGTCAGAGCGGTCACATGATCGGGAAAGGTCCCGATCGAAAGAGGAGATCGAGACCTTTCTGTGAGTACCGGATATGTGTGCTGGGTACATATGTTTCTCTTAATTGCACGCAAATGTGCGGGCCCGCTCGATGTTAAGGCCCAGACGCCGGGAGGCTGCACATTTGCGTGTGGCCGGTGCAAAGAGGTTAAAGGGGTTTCGCATTTAAAGTGGTTTGTAAAGGCTCAAGGTTTTTTACCTTCATGTATTCTATGCATGAAGGTAAAATAACCTTCTGTGTGCAGCAGTGCCCCCAGTCCCCTCAATACTTTCCTCAGCTCATCGCGATCCAGTGATGTGAATGACAGCCTTGGCTATCCCGGGTCTCTGTCTCCTCTTTGGCTGAGACAGTAAGCGGGAGCCATTGTCATTCACAGCCAGTAGGCATAGCATTGTGGGGGCATCAGACAGAAAGGAGGAGCCAGGAGAGCCTGCGGGGGACCCGAGAAGGGGAGGATTCAGGCTGCTCTGTGCAAAACCACTACACACAGTAGGTAAGTATAGATATGTTTTGTTATTTTCCTAAAAAAAAAAAAAAAACCCAAAACCTTTAGAATCACTGTAAGTATATTCTATTACTCCTTTTTTTTCTTTTGTCAGGTTCAACCACCAGATGTTCTTACACGGGTTAGTGAATATGTGCCAGAAATTGTAGAATTTGTGCAGAGAATTGTGCAGAATGGTTATGGGTAAGTCAGGCTTCTACCCCCAACCTCATTCCTGTCTGCCTATTGTTCATGCTGTAGTGTGACTTTTCTGTTTTCTTGTTCTTTGTATTCTTTTCTTTCTTTTTTATCTCCTTACTCTGTTTCTCTCTCCCTTTTCTTTTTCTCTCTCTCTTTGTTCTCTCTCTCCTCTTTGTTCTCTCTCTCCTCTTTCTTCTCTCTCTCCTCTTTCTTTCCCTCTCCCCTCTCTCTCACTCCCTTCCCCCCTCTCTCCCTTCCCCCCCCCCTCCCCCTTCCCCCCCCTCCCCCCCCCCTCTCTCTCTCTCTCTCTCTCTCTCTCTCTCTCTCTCCATCTCTCCCTCCCCCTTTCCCTCTCTCCCTCCCTCCTTCCCCCCCTCTCTCTCCCTCCTTCCCCCCCTCTCTCTCCCCCCTTCCCCCTCTCTCTCCCCGCCTTCCCCCTCTCTCTCCCCCCCTTCCCCCTCTCTCTCCCCCCCTTCCCTCTCTCTCTCCCCCTTCCCCCTCTCTCACCCCCCTTCCCTCTCTCTCTCACCCCCCCCTTCCCCTCTCTCTCTCCCCACTCCCCCCCTCTCTCTCTCCCCACTCCCCCCCCTCTCTCTCTCTCCCCCCACTCCCCCCCCTCTCTCTCTCTCCCCCCACTCCCCCCCCTCTCTCCCTCCCTCCTCCCTTCTCTCCCCCCCCTCTCTCCCCCTCCTCCCTTCTCTCTCTCTCTCTCCCCCCTCCCCCCCTCCTCCCTTCTCTCTCTCTCTCTCTCTCTCTCTCCCCCCCCCCCCCCTCCCTTCTCTCTCTCTCTCTCTCTCTCTCCCCCCCTCCCCCCTTCTCTCTCCCTTCGCTCCTCTCTCTCTCCCCCCCTCTCCCCCCTCCCCCTCTCCCCCCTCCCCCCCTCTCTCTCCCTCTCCCTCCCCCCTCTCTCTCCCCCCCTCCCCCCCCCTCTCTCTCTCTCTCTCTCTCGCTCTCCCCCCATCCCCCTCCCTTCCCTCTCTCTCGCTCTCCCCCCCCCTTCCCTCTCTCTCCCTTCCCTCTCTCTCTCCATCTCCCTTCCCTCTCTCTCTCTCTCCATCTCCCTTCCCTCTCTCTCTCTCCCTCTCCCTTCCCTCTCCCCCCTCTCTCTCCCCCCCTTCCCTCTCTCTCCCCCTTCCCCCCTCTCCCTCTTCCCTCTCTCTCTCCCCCTTCCCCCCTCTCTCCCTCCCCCTTCCCCCTCTCTCCCCCCCCTTCCCTCCCTCTCCCCCCCCTTCCCTCCCTCTCTACCCCCCCCTCCCCTCTCGCGCTCTCTCTCTCTCCCCCTTCCCCCCCTCTTCCCCCCTTCCCTCTCTCTTCCCCCCTTCCCTCTCTCTCTTTCCCCTTCTCTCTCTCCCTTCCTTCCCTCTCTACCCCCAACAACTTTCCTAGCTGCCTATTGTTCATGCTGTAGTGTGACTTTTCTCTCTTTCTCTCTCTTCCCCCTCCATCTCTCTCCCCCTTCTCCCTCCCTCCCCCCTTCTCTCTCCCTCCCCCTTCTCCCCCCCCCTTCTCTCTCCCTCCCCCTTCTCCCCCCCCCCTCTCTCTCTCTCCATCTCTCTCTCTTCATCTCTCCCTCCCCCCTTCCCTCTCACTCTCCCTCCCCCCCTTTCCCTCTCACTCTCCCTCCCCCCCTTCCCTCTCACTCTCCCTCCCCCCTTCCCTCTCACTCTCCCTCCCCCCTTCCCCCTCTCTCTCTCCCTCCCCCCTTCCTTCCCTCTCTCTCCCCCCCTTCCCTCTCTCCCTCCCCCCCTTCCCTCTCTCTCTCCCCCCTTTCCCTCTCTCCCCCCCCTTCCCTCTCTCTATCCCCTTCCTCTCTACCCCCCTCTCTCTCCCCCCTTTCCCTCTCTCTCTCTCTCTCCCCCCCCCGTTCCCTCTCTCTCCCCCCCCCCTTCCCCCCCTCTCACTCTCCCCCCCCCTTCCCCTCTCTCTCTCCCCCCCTTCCCCTCTCTCTCTCTCCCCCCCTTCCCTCTCTCTCTCTCCCCCCTTCCCTCTCCCCCCCCCCCCCCTCTCTCTCTCTCTCTCTCCCCCTTCCCTCTCCCTCCCCCCCCCCTCTTCTCTCTCTCTCTCCCCCTTCCCTCTCTCTCTTTCCCATTCTCTCTCTCCCTTCCTTCCCTCTCTACCCCCAACAACTTTCCTGGCTGCCTACTGTTCATGCTGTAGTGTGACTTTTCTATCTCTTGTTCTTTGTATTCTTTTCTTTTCTTTTTTTCCTCCTTCTCACTCTGTTTCTCTCTCCCTTTTCCCGTCTTGCGCTCTCTCTCTCTCTCTCTCTCTCTCTCTCTCTCTCTCCCTTCTCTCTCTCTCTCTTCCTTCCCTCTCTCTTGTAATAAATCTTGTTCTTTTGCAGCTACGTATCCAACGGCTCTGTATACTTCAGCACAGCCAAGTTTCACTCCAGTGATAAACATTACTATGCCAAGCTGGTACCGGAGGCCGTTGGTGATCAAAATGCTCTTCAGGAGGGAGAAGGTACTGGAATTCTCTTACACTAAATGTTTAGTCTGTGGACTGTATCTGATCTCTGTGGTATAATGACCAAGTGTGATCTTCCTCATATGTAAAGGTGATCTCAGCATTTCTGCTGATCGGTTAAGTGAGAAGCAGTCACCCAATGACTTTGCTCTATGGAAGGCCTCAAAACCCGGGGAGCCATCGTGGGATTCTCCATGGGGAAAGGTAACATTAAAGAAAAATAATCTGTTTACTTCTACTATAAAAGTAGCATAAATCAAGGAGCCTTAAATATATTTCTACCCAAACACCAAATTGTTGTATATTGCAGTTTACTAATCCTGGTGATTACATTTGTTTCCTTTATTCCAGGCTTTTTTTTTTTCATCTGGTCAGCTTGTCAGTAGTAACACACTTCCTGTCTTGTGACAGCGCTGGTTCATTTTACTTTAGGGAGCGGCGGTTGTCACTCTAAGCTGCTCTCATGATTTGGACTTCCTCTTCCTCACATGGACGGCAGGGAAATTTGTAGTTTACAGATTATGGCTTAGAAGTAAGATAATAACATTGTTTGTGCTTTCCGTTCAGTTCACAGAAAGTGACAAGAAAACTGCATTTCTGGCAAGATCAATGGGTAGTTTCTATACTTGCTGAAAATGTTATCAGCCTGAAAAAAAGAAAACTAACGTAGCTGCCACCTCTTAAAGAAATTCTAAAGGTTATGTTTTTTTCTTTGTAAAATAACAAACATGTCTGTACTTACTCGCAGACTCTCCTGGCCCTTCCTCCTGTCGGGTGCCCCCACAGCAAGCAGCTTGGTATGGGGGCACCCGCTTCTCTGTGTGCCCATTCACACACGGAGCCGCGACTTGCCCCCCCCCCCCTTTTAAAGAGACATCCATGCATAATAAAAGTTACATCGTTTGTCGCCATTGCGCAGGCGTGCGCAATTTCAAAGCGTGACATGTTTGGTATCTATTTACTCGACGCAGCATCATCATCTTTTAAATTTTACTGAAGCAATTTGGTATTTTATGGTGTTTTTGTGCATTAAAATTAGAAAAAAATTGCAGTGGGTCTCTGCTGTATTATAGATAAAATGTAAAAACAAACAACAAAACAAAAAGTTGCAACATCCACATTGTTGCATTTTTGATTGTGTGCTTGGAAAAAGTGAAGTCACGTAACCCTTTCATGCCCAGAAGCCAAGGGTGTACAGTGTTAGATCAAATTTTTCTGAAAAGCAAATTTTGAAGTCATTTTAAGTTTTTTTAAAATGGTTGTTACTCTTCATCTACCTCTTTATTTAGAAATTGTTTGAAACTGAATATGTTTAATATGTTAACAAAACTTATTTCATTTTTTTTTAAAACTATACATCAAGCATCACAAAATGGCAGACCGCGGTCCGGATCCGGACTTCGCCGCTGTCCTTTCCGGAGCCGTGGTCGCACCATTTAGGAGCCTTTCTTCTCCCTGGTCTCCGCGGGGGATAGTAATGAACAGAGAGTGGGAGGTACAGCTGCATTGGACCACTGGGTGTTTCTAACAACCAATCACCAGCTTGTTATAGGAAAATGTGACCTCGGCTCCCTGCTCCCGCACTCCATCCAATGCTGCTGTGCCTCCCGGCCGCTCTCACCTCTGTGTAAGGTAGGCAAGAGGAACATAGCTAGGAAGGGGGGATGCAGAAGGTGACATGTGCGTTTTGAAGGTGGTGGCAGATGAGAAGGGACAGAGCACTTTTTTGTGGGGGGGATGGCGATGTGATAGGGGAGCAGTGCTGTGGGGGGAGGGGTCAAAGATGTTAAGGGGGGCAAGTGCTGGCGGGGAGGGGAGATGTTAAGGGGGGCAAGTGCTGGGGGAAGAGAGAGATGTTAAGGGGGGGCAAGTGCTGGTGGGGAGGGGAGATGTTAAGGGGGGCAAGTGCTGGCGGGGAGGAGAGATGTTAAGGGGGGCAAGTGCTGGGGGGGGAGGGGAGATGTTAAGGGGGGGGGGCAAGTGCTGGTGGGGAGGGGAGATGTTAAGGGGGGCATGTGCTAAGGGGGGGGCAAGTGCTGGTGGGGGGGGAGATGGGGGGGTGCTGTTGGGGAGGGGAGATATGAAGGGGGTGCAGTGCTATTGGGTTGGAGGAGATGTAAAGGGAGGGGCAAGTGGTGTGGAGATGTAAAGGGGGGGGCAGTGCTGTGGGGTTTGGGGGCAAGTGAGGGGGGGGGGAGATGTGTAAAAGTGCTGAGGGGGGGGGGCAGTGCTGTGGTGAGGGGAATGTTAAGGGGGGCAGTGCTGGGAGTGAGGGATGTAAAGGGGGGGCAGTGCTGTGGGGGGGGGGGGGTTCAATGTGAAGGGAGCAGTGGACATTATTGGGAAGGGGAAACTGATGTGAATTGGGTGACTGTGATGGGGACTGAGGACACTGATGAATGGGATTGTGATATAAAATGAAGGGGCTTTGATGGGAGGGATCTGTGACATCACAGAAATATGCCGTTCAGAGCTTTGCTGAAGAAAATTTTACTCATCGGACCTCCATAAATTTTAATTCAATACCTCTGCCATACATTAGTAGATAATTATTAAATGTGTTGTGATTTAAATCTGCATCTACTTTTTGTAAAGGGTCGTCCTGGGTGGCACATCGAGTGTTCAGCAATGGCAGGCTCCATCTTGGGAGAATCCATGGACATCCATGGAGGAGGATTTGATCTGCGCTTCCCTCATCATGACAATGAGCTGGCTCAGTCAGAGGTATAGAAAGATAAAGACAAAATCACCAATCTCGGTTTGTTCTACACCTTCTCTGTTTGCCTAAACCCGCCTCTGGTTTGTCACAGGCCTACTTTGACAATGACCATTGGGTACGCTACTTCCTCCATACGGGTCACCTGACCATCGCAGGCTGCAAAATGTCCAAATCTCTGAAGAACTTCATCACTATTCAAGATGCACTACAGAGAAATACAGGTACTGATACAGCAATTCTAAGTTGTAGTCGAATTTAATCGGAAGAGCAGTGTGTGTGAATGCTACTTTGTTCTTGTTAAAATTTGTCACGAGTAATGAAATAATCCAAAGATTTACTTTTTGGGACTGTTGAAGCAATAAACCCAAAGAATCCAATGCAATATTAGTGTTCTACATCCAGATCAGTGAAGGATTGTCCTTGTGTTGATGGGCTTTTGTTTGCTTCAGAACTGCTTTTCTTTCTATACAAGGCTATGGGAAGGCAAAAGATCTTTGAAGGAAGTTGATGCAGCCTAGGAGGATGTCGGATGCACATACATTTCAGATGAAAGCAGAATGCCTCGCCTACCGGGCACTTATACCCCCTTCCTGCCCAGGCCAATTTCCAGCTTTCAGCGCTGTCACACTTTGAATGACAATTGCGCGGTCATGCAACACTGAACCCATATGACATTTTTATCATTTTTTTGAGACAGATAGAGCTTTCTTTTGGTGGTATTTAATCACCTCTGGGATTTTTATTTTTTCCTAAACCAAAAAAACGCTGAAAATTTTGAAAAAACAACAAATGTTTTTTCTTAGTTTTTGTTATACAGTTTTGTAAATAAGTGATTTTTCTCCTTCACTGATGTGCGCTAATGAGGCTGCAGTGATGGGCACTGATGAGCTGCACTGATAGGTGGCACTGATGAGGAGGCACTGGTAGGTTGCACTGATGGGCATTGACAGGCATCACTGATGGGCACTGAAAGGCAGCACTGATACATGACACTGATAGGTGACACTGTTAGGTGGCACTGACTGGCACTGTTAGGTGGCACTGACTGTCAGCGCTGATAGGTGGCACTGATTGGCATTGATAGGTGGCACTGACTGATATTCAAGACTTTGGATTCCAAGACGTTTGTTGGGTGCTGCCATTGTCCTGGCTACATGTGGATTTTTTTCAGTTTTGATGACCCCCTTTGTTCAAGGGTCCCCTGGTTGTGTGCAGAGTTGCCAACCCCAAGCCACAGATAATGACTGTTCACCTCTTGAAAATCTGAACCCACCGCCTCGTCTCATACTGCTCTTGCACTCACTGTGAGTGCACCTCTGTGTTAGCAGCACAAAGACCCTGCTAGGGTAGCGATGTGTGGACTGATAGAATACTTGCGGATGTGCAATTGTTAAACTGTGCTGTAAAATGGATAATCTTGGTATTCTCCCAGGACCACCCCACAATATGACTGCTCTGATTGAGTGCTTTGGGGAATTGTAGTCACATTGGGGGGTTGTCTGCTACCAGAAGCTGCAGCTTTGCTAGTAAGGGGTAGGAAGCAGACAGTGAACACGTCGCTGGATCTGAGAAGTGCTGTAAAGAGAGTGAATGCATCCCCATAATAGTTTGACAAACAAGACACTAGAACAATCAAGTGGCAGTAAACAATGAACATATAGCGCCACAAGGGTATGCCAGCGCTGTACCCCTAACAGTAGCACAGGGCGGACAGAACATGAGACAAGACAGGAATAATACACTACACGAGGGGTTCGAGGGCCCTGCTCTTTCGAGTTACACTCCTAGGATGGACAAGTGATATGGCTGTTGGGGGATGGATGGTGAACAAAGTGGAGGAGGCTTAGTTGTTAGGTGAGGTTGGGTGTTAGGTAGGGTCATAGGCATTCCCTGAGGTGAGGGTTTTCAGGGTCGCCTGAAGGTTTGAGGAGGGTAGGCGAATGTCCCTTTGGATTGGGGGAGGAGCCAGAGGATGGGGGAAAACACATATTCCAATGAGTAAGAGCATGCTGTGTTGGGCAGCTACTGTGGGAGGAGCAGGAGTACCAGGGAGCTAGAGAGTAGGAGGTCCTGTGAGGAGCGAAGGGCACGGGTAGGGTAGTATTTGGGTATCAGGTCAGTTATGTAGTTCGGGGCGGCATTGTGAATGGCTTTGTAGGTCAGAGTTAGCAGTTTGAAGGTTGATGCGTTGGGCAATCGGGAGCCAATGAAGGGATTGGCAGAGGGGGGAGGCAGATGTGGAGCGGTTGGTGAGGTGGATGAGTCTATCCGCTGAGTTTAGGATCGACTGGAGTGGGGATAGCGTTCGTTTGGGTAGGCCAGTGAAAGGGAGTTGCAGTAGTCCAGGCGTGAGATGATGAAACACGGAGTGTACGCCAGTTGTTTCCGTGGTTTGGGCTGAGGAATGTGCGTATCTTGGAGATGTTCGGAGGTGTGAGCTGCAAGATCTAGATAGCAGTTGGATGTGGGGTAGGAAGGAGAGGTGGGGTCCAGGGTGACACCCAGGACTTTGGCGTGTGGGGTGGGAGAGATGGTGGCCCGTTGTTAGTAGTGAGGATCGGGGGGGGGGGGGGTATAATACGGAGTGGGGGGCAAAGACCAGGAGTTCGGTTTTGGATAGGTTAAGTTTTGAGGACAATAGAACAATGGAACAACCAAGTGGCAGTAAACAATGAACAACCCCCACACCCCACCTATACATGCCCACACAATATTAGGACATTCCACCCTGTACCCCTAACAGGCACAGGGTGACTCACACATAATGGGAATATGGGGAGCGGAGACAGGGGTCCCCCCACCCCCCAAAGTCAATTCCGTCACAAGTGCTATATCTTTGAATGAACAAACGAAAAAACCAGCGCTCAAATCTTCATGCTGACTGGGATTCTGTAACTGTCATTCATTGAGGTGCAGCCCTTAGAAGATCGGGAAATCTTGATACTGGTAAAGAGAAGCAAAACTGGGCGCACTATCTCACTGCACATTACCATGGCCTGGAACACGAGTTTATTTCAAAGCATATAAATGCATACTCACAAACCAAAATGGAGTCGGGAAGAAGGGAGTACATCTCCCGAAACACGTTAGCCTACCTCACACACAGGGTCTTCCGTCACTTTGGGCAGCCCGCATGGGAACCGTAGTTCCCAGACCGGTTACGTTTTCCAGTGCGGGCGGCGTGCCATTACGTGGGGCCGATCATGGACTATTTATCTCTGTTTTTTATCCCTCTTTTTGGTTTGTGAGCTTTCAAATAAACTCTCTTAGATTGTAAGCTCCAAGGATCAGGGCCCTCCTATCCCTCTTGTATTGAACTGTATTGTTGCTGTATTGTCTCCCGTTATATTGTAAAGCGCTGAGCAAACAGTTGGCGCCATAGCCTAAATCCTGTGCATAATAATAATTTAAATCCATAGTAATAATAATATGCGTAAATCTGGTGTATAATAATAAGATCGGATATCAATCCTGTATAATAATAATAATAACTATAGTAAATCCTGTATAATAATATATAACCCTCCTTTACAAATATAAGGTAATATATAAACTGAACTCCTGTATAATAATAATAAGGCCATAAATGATGTATTTTTCTAATATATAAATCCTGTATTTCTCCCATAATCAAGTATATAAATTGTATAATAATAATCTGAGCTTAATAATTATATAAAAATCCTGTATAATAATGGGAGGCACTGTATTGATCCGTACATGATTATTGCTCAGCATATAATAATATATATATAAAATGTTATTCCTGTATAATAATAATAATATATAATTGGATCCTGTATAATAATAATGCTCATGCTAAATCCTGTATAATAATAATAATATATAAATCCTGTATAATAATAATAATATATAAATCCCGTATAATAATAATATATAAATCCTGTAACATTGTTAATAATAATAACTTGTGTTTCACCGCGGTAATGCACGAAGAGTGCGCGCCCTATATCTTTGAATATTCGAGAAGGCTGCATCAATTGGCCAGAGTTGGCCTTTAGATTTTATAGAGACTTCCTGAGAACGTGTGAAATTATCTGAAACCAGCATTACTGCCAGAAACTGGAATATGTGATAACTCATTCCTGCAGATTCTAACGATGCAAACTATTTCCTTCCACAGCCCGGCAGCTGCGTCTGGCATTCCTCATGCACTCCTGGAAGGACACACTGGATTATTCACCTAACACTATGGAGTCTGCCGTCCAGTACGAAAAATTCATGAATGTAAGTGAAATATCCCACTGCAAGAAGAGTTTCTTTGGCCTTTAGCCCTGGTTCACCATATATGCGGCCGCGCGGGACGCGTTTTTGGTATTTAATCGCAGGCATGAGAGCCCGTTTTCATTTTAATGGACTCCCGTGCCCCGTGATACACAGGGAAGAAGTCTCTGCACTGCTTCTGAAAACGCAGCCTTTTCATGGGAACTGCAGTTCCCAGAACGGTTAAGTTTTCCAGTGCGGGCGGCGTGCCATTAGAACTAATGGCACCCACCCACGGGTCCGCATTCCTCTGTGCGGGTGGTGCAGCTGCACGGATTTTCATGCGGATCCACAGTGTCCCCACCCGCACAGATGTGAACCTAGCCTTAGGGTCAGTGCATTGATTTTCCATAGTGGTGGCTACTTTTCTTGTGTAAAAATGTATTGTTTCCAGATCAGATTCAAGCTGCCATTGTGCAAGTGCAACTTAGTGAGGCCTGTCTTTGATGTTGCCCCTCCTTTACAAATATTTATAGGTACATATAATAAAACTGAACTCTGGGATAAGTAAGGGCAGGCCATAGATGATGTGATTTTTTTTCATGCAAAATCACTGGATTTCCCATCAACACAGTCTCAGTGTTGATAGGGGAATCCCTCCCGCTGAGTTGTTGTGTTCACCCAGCAGGTGGGTGTGGGAAGCTGTCCCTGTCTGGAGAAAACAGTGATTATTGCTTAGCTGCTATAGCCGCTGGTAATAATCACATGTAAAAATTCAGCATGCTTTTCGCACCCAAGTGGATTGATGAATCGACTATGACCATGTAGTCGACTTGGGTTACAATCATAGCCATTGTACTACTTTGGGGCATGGTTCGGATCTAGACTGGTCCCTGCTGAACCGGACAATTTGCTTAGTCGAACAATCTATTGCTATATTTAACATTGAATGTAAATACAGGCGTACCTCGGTTTACGAATTTAATGCAGTCTGCGGACTTTTTGTATTGCGAAAAATTCCCATAGGAATGCATTGAAAACCGGAGGTCAGAAAAAGTTTATAAAGCTGTGATTTGGTCACAGTTTGAACAGAAAAAATACATTTTTTTAAACTTTTTTCTGACCTCCGGAACGAATGTGATTGGTTTTCAATGCATTTACAAATTTTATTTTTATCAGGTCTCTATAGTATTTATCGCCTTTTAAAGTGGCACTTTATAAAGAGTTTTGAACAGAAAGACTTTTTTTTTTAAAGTGCACTTTAAAGGCATAAATACGCAGAGACACGATAAAAAAAAAAATTGTAAATGCATTGAAAACCAATTAATCCATTCTTTTGGAGGTCAGCCAAAGTCCTCTGTTCAAAACTCTTTATAAAGTGCACTTTAAAGGCATAAATACTATACAGAGACATGATAAAAAAAAAATTGTAAATGCATTGAAAACCATTTAATCTGTTCTGGAGGTTAGAAAAAAGTCTTCTGTTCAAAACTCTTTCTAAAGTGCACTTTAAAGGCAAATAGTACAGGCAGGGACATGATAAAAAAAAAATTTTGTAAATGCATTGAAAGCCAATTAATCCGTTCGTATTGCGAAAAATTTAGTAAACCAAGGCATTATTTTCAATGGATTTTTTCATTCGTAAACCGAACATTATGTTAACCGAGGTGTTCGGAAATCGAGGTCCGCCTGTATAACAGGCATATGTATTCTTGCTTGTAAGTGGATTTATATCCATTGTGGTTATTGAGGAGTGTGCTGAATATGAGAGTTTTTGTGCCCATAGTTCAGCTTTAAATGCTTTCTGTAATGTACGTTCATCTCGCTAAACATGCTGTTTTTTTCAGGAATTCTTTTTAAATGTGAAGGATATTTTAAGGACCCCCACAGATATTACAGGCCGGTTTGTGAGGTGGCAGTCCCAGGAAATTGAGCTGAACAACAGGTGTGTATCTGCCATCTAGGAAAATATAAACCACAAAACCATTTATTGGTTGGACACCATCATCTGTCGAGTGGCAATGTTTTCCTGAGTAAAATAGCATTGTTTCCTGAGCATGATCTGGAATCCCTCTAATTTGTTCGTAATTGTCAGAGTCATAAAAAGTAGGGATCAGTGAGCGCTCAAATTAAGCTGCTATTGCACAATAAGGTAACCAGATAAAACTTCAATAAACATATGAACTAACAGTGCAGCGCTAGAATTGTGTCCGTTAAAAAAGATTAAAATGTTCATAAAAGTGACAGTTCGTGCTAAGGTGCCAATCACAGCTGTAGGCAGGGGCGGACTGACCATTTTAACCACTCAGGCACTGCCAAGGGTCCAGGGTCAGTAGGGACCCCATGAGATGCCCCTGGTACCTTTCATAGGCTTTTTTGGGTGTGGTTTGAGTGTGGGTGAGGACACGGGCCCCATGATTTCCTATTGCCCTGGCTGTAGGTAACTTCAATATTCAGTGATGTGCTCACAGGGTGTGGTAAAAATACGCACTCACCAGATGCGTATTGTAAATACGCATGTAATATGTATAATCAGAGGTCCCCTTTAAGGATGGATGAGGTAAGCCGGGTACGGAATATTATCTGTATCTGACTTCTAAAGCTCACAGTGTGCAGTGAAATCAGAATAAGATATTTCAGTCCAGGAGAGAAGCCGGTACAACTGTGCAAGACTAAGGGCAGGGTAAGATTGGAGTTCAGCTTTAAATATTTTTTTCTGATTTAATATTTTCATGATACTCTAGACATGGTAAAAAATAAGTTGAGGGATTACCAGAGAAGCTTTTTAAATAGAGAATATTTTAAAATGGATATTTTCCTTTAAATGTTAACCCCTTCCACCCCTTTAAGCGTTTCAGAAGCCGGGGGGAAGGGTTTAGGGTCATGTGACACGCCGTCACGGCGGTCACATGATCGGGAAAGGTGCCGATCGAAAGAGGAGACCGGGACCGTTCCGTGAGTACCGGACATGTGTGCTGGGAGACGTGCAGGGCGCGCGCTCTTAGCACGTGTTTTTTTTTTTTTTATATAAATGTGTGGCCGCTCGGCGTCTAGGCCCAAACGCCGGGAGGCCGCACGTTTGCGTTCAGCCGGCGTGAAGAGGTTAAGATTTCAAAGTGTTTCTAAAGGCACATATAGAAAAAAAAAAATATGTTATACCTACCTGCTCTGCGCAATGCTATTGCACACAGCAGCCTTGAACCTCCTCTTCTGGGGTCCCCCACCAGCAATCTTAGCTTCTTCTCTTCTCTGTCTGCTGCCACAATAGGAAGCCACTTACTGTGGGGCATGTCAGGAACATCAATTTAGGGACTGACAAAGAGGATGCCTCCACTGTGGCCAAAATTTTGTACAAAGAAATCATTCCGAGATGGGATGTCCTCGTGTGATGGATTCAGACAAGGGCCCAGCATTCACATCCAAAGTGGGCAGAGATGTGGGCTTGATTTCAAGCTGGGCTGTGTGCGTCTATGAACACACAGCACAGCTCAGCCCCACCCCCTGCTTTCTGCTTACAGCATTTGATTGACAGCAGCAGGAGCCAATGGCTCCTGCTGCTGCCTCAGTTCCTGTGAGTAGAGGGGGAGGGGAGTGAAGAGATGCACCCGGGCTCAGCACTGGATCAGTTGAGGACTCGGGTAAGTATTTAGGGAGGTGGGGGAGCACAGCAAGTTGTAAAACGGTTTTAACCTTAACCGCATGCCGCCCAGCCACTGTACATATACGGCGGCAGGGCGGCACTCACGGGCAAAACCCCGTTTTAAAACGTGGGTTTTGTAAACAAATAGGGGGCGCGCGCGAGGCGCGCTGCCGCCCTATTTGTCCTGCGGATCACCGCCGCAGATGTCAGTCGCCGGGTCACAGCCGCTCCTTAGTGGCTATATCCCGGCGATCGGCGGCAAACAGTGACAGACAGCACAGCTGCAGTAGCTGTGCTGTCTGTCACTTCCCTGTCAGCTCGAGGATGAGCTGATGGAGAAAGAATAGTTTCACTTTCTCGATTAGCCTTGTCCCGCCCAGTACACACCCCGCCCCCTAGTAAAACACTCCCCTCACTCCTATAACCCTTCCCTGAAAAATAAAGTTAACCCCTTCCTCCCATTGCCATTAGTACAGTGTCAGTTTTTTTTTTTTTTTTGCACTGATCACTGTATTAGTGTTTTTGGGGATGTCAGTGACCCCAAGTCAGTACCCCCCAATGTCAGAATGTCCGCCGCAGTCCTGCCATAAGTCGCTGGTCGCCGCCATAAGTCCCTGATCGCCGCCATAAGTCGCTGATCGCCGCCATTATTAGTATAAAAAAAACCCTAAAAATCCCAGTATCTTTCCTGCCATTTGTAAACGCTATAACTTTCACGTAAACCAATTAATTTACACGTATTGGGTTTTTTTTTAGCAAAGACGTCGCAGAATGCATTTTGGCAGAAATTTATGACTAAATTTGATTTTTGCATTTTTTTTTTTTACTGGACATGTTTTATAGCAAAAAGTCCAAAATATTGTTTTTTTTTTCCCTCAAAATTGTCAGGCTTTTTTTTTTTTATAGCGCAATAAATAAAAAACCGCACAGGCGATCAAATACCACCGAAAGAGAGCTCAATTTGTTGGGAAAAAAAGGATGTAAATTTCACTTATGTACCATATTGCATGACCGCGCAATTGTCCGTTAAACTAGCGCAGCGCTGTATAGCAGAAAAATGGCGTAAATTGCAGTATCTATACCATAGTTTGTAGACGCTATAACTTCCACAAAAAGCAATCAATATACACTTATTGGGATTTTTTTTTACCAAAAACATGGAGCAGAATACATTTTGGCCTAAATTTATAACCAACTTTGAGTTTTTACTATATATTTTTTATAGCTGAAAATAAAAAATATTGTTTTTTCTTCAAAATTTTTGGTCTTTTTTTGTTTATAGCGTGAAAAATAAAAAGCGCACAGGTGATCAAATACCACCGAAAGAAAGCTCTATTGGTGTGAAGCATTGCATGACTGCGCAATTATCAGTTGAATTAGTGCAGCGCCGAGTAGCAAAAAGAGGCCTGATCATTAAGGGGGGTAAATCCTCAGGAGCTCAAGTGGTTAAATACATTAGGAAAAGTTTTACCTATTAGAACCTGTTTCATTTCAGCCTTTCCTCGATCAAATAGTCAGTTACTATGCCATCTTGTCTCTCTTCACAGCTTCTATACCAAGAAGGCGTCCATTCACGCAGCACTGTGCGATAACATTGACACACGAACGGTCATGGAAGAAATGCGATCGCTGGTCAGCCAGAGCAACTCCTACATTGCGTCCAAGAAATCCAATAAACAGCTGCCAAACAGAATGTTACTGGAGAGCATCCGCACCTACCTGACCAATATGCTCAAAGTAGGTCGTCCCATTTTCATGTTCAGACACTACAATAGACAAGAATTATCTTTCCTTCAATCACAGCACATCTGTCTGCAAAGGTTAAAATATTATCCAAAGCTCTTTTTTTCAGTTTTGGAATACGGAGCGTATTAAATTACCGTCGGTTTTGTGCTATAAGTGTCCCATTAGTGAGCTTTCCTTTATATCCTGTACACAAATGATGTCTAAATAAAGGTATTAAAACTATTTTTTTAAAAATGATCTTCAGTGGGCATTTCTAAGGCTTGTTAGAATGTGTTTTGCTTTGTATAAGTTCACATCTAGTTTAAAGCGGAACTTCACCCTAAATGGGAAGTTGTGCTTTTAAGAATCCTAACCCCTCTCCCCCCCTCCCTCCTCTAACATTATTGGAGGAAGTGGGGGTACCTACTTTCCGCCTAGGCAACTCCACCGGAAGTCATCAACATCACCCCCCTATCCCCCGGGTCGCAACCACTTGGGACACGTCACGGGTCCCAAGAAGCTGCAGGACCATTCACCCATTCACAAAGCGCAGTGCAACCTGTGCATGCACAATGGGAAGCTGGCTGTGAAGACGCAAGGAGTCGTAGCCGGCTTCCCACATTAAACATGCTGACACCAGGGACCCAGAGACAGGTGAAGAACTGGCCTTGGAGAGGAGGACGGTACTGAATGCCTGGACAGGTAAGTGTCACTAGCTGCTGATTTTAATATTTTTTTTCCCAAGCGATTGAAGATCCAATTTAACCGCTTCCCCACTGCCCTATAGCAGATATACTGCTACAAGGCAGCAGAAGTGCACCAAATCACCTGTGATTTTGTATTTCCGGGTAGGGGGCGCACGCCCTACCCACGCTGCCATTCGCAGCCACAGCTGTCAATCACCGGGTCCCAGACGGTAATTACCTAGCATCTCCGATGGGGAGGAGGACTGGTTTGTTTACTAACAGTCCTTCTCCCTGTCAGCTCGGGCACACTGCTCTGGATGGCTGAGCACAGCACAGCCATCCAGAGCCGTGTGCTTACAGTGAAACACCAACACACTGCCCCCTAGTAAAACACTCCTTGCACACAGTTAACCCTTTGATTGTTCTTCGTGTTAACCCCTTCCTGCCCAGTACCATTAGGACAGTGTCTGTGCTTTTTTTTTTTTTTTTTTTAGCACTGATCACTGTATTGGTGGGAAAAAAAGGACGTACGTTTCATTTGGGTGCAGCGTTGCATGACCGCTCAATTGTTAGTTAAAGTAACGCAGCGCCGTAATGCAAACAATGGCCTGGTCAGGAAGGGGGGTAAATCCTCAGGAGGGCAAGGGGTTAAGCCCAGCGCTATCTTTTATTATTATTATTATTATTATTATTATTATTATTATTATTTATTTATTTATTTTTATTTATTGATTTAGTAATTTTAGCAGCACTAAGACCATACTCTTGCTTTTGAACTGTTTTTTGTGTTATTTATAGAATATATCTAATTGTTTTCTAGATATTTGGAGCAATAGAAGGAGAGGAGTCCATCGGATTCCCTGTAGGAGGAAGCGGACAGAATGTTAATGTAAGTACCTGTTTTGGTAGTTTTGGCATTTCTAGGTTATAATTTGTAGCAGAATATCTGATTTCCTTCCTCTTCTTTCATGTAATCAGATGAGTCTGCACAGTCTAAATTACAAGGTACACACTTTCTGTCTGTAGAAACTTGTTAGGAGTGTAGAAACTTTGAACCACAATTTCTCAACTGCTTGCAGGGCTAGATTTATGAAGGCATACACATTTAGAGGCATTTTAGAAGTAATTGGACTGTTAGGTATGATTATTATTGCCTTTTAGAGTTTTTTATTTGTTTGTTTTTGTTTTTTTACTCCACTAGTTGTCAAAAGTAGAACTGTTTTCAGTTGAAGGATTTGGATAAACTAGGAAAGGGTCACACCCTAAGCAGATTTCTTTTTAGCTGTCTGCCCTGTTAGGGAGATTTTCCTTTAATTCCTCCCCTGAAGACACAACAGGGAATAAGTAGAAATCACTTCTTAGACTGTTGTCACTGGGATAGCCGTCCTATTGGAAGATTTCCCCTCCTTTCTTCTTCCAATGACGGCTGAAAAATTGTGGATTTCCTTCCATTTTTACAAAAAAAAAAAAATCAGGTGCAAAGAAAAACAAGAAGAGGGAAGCACCTCTAAAGTGAAGACTTTCATAACAAATTTATTTTAATTCACAATTAGCCACTCACATTTTAAAAGTGAATAGAAGGCTCATCAAGGTTAAAAATCGGGAATCAAATGCGCATCTCTAAGGAGAGAACCACCACAGAAGACTGATGTGCTGAACTATTTGTGAAGAGCACACTGGTTGAACCGTCCACATCCAGGAAGAGTGTTGGGTGCACTTGGACTGCAGCACTGGCATGATGACGTCACCGGGACAGCGACGCGTTTCTGAGAATGCGCAATGCCACACTCCTGAGAGCTTGAGAACAGTGCGCGTGCCCAAGTGTGGCATTTTGCTTGCTCGGAAATTCATCACTGTCCCGGTGACATCATCACGCCAGCTCTGCAATCCAAGTGCGCTCCATCCCTCTTCCTTGATGTGAATGGTTCGGTCAGCGTCCTCTCCACTGACAGTTGAGCACATCGATCTTCTGCGGAAGTTCTCTCCATACAGATGAGCGTATGAGTCCTGGTTTTCAATCTTGATGAGCCTTTTATATTAATTATTATTATACGATGATGAGCCTTTTATTCATTTTTATCTTGTGAATGGCTCATTGTGAATTGTAATAAATTTGTTATGCAAGTCTTCACTTAGAAGCACTTTCCTCTTCTTGTTTTTCTGGTCTAATAGAGCCAGTTTCTTGCTCCAAGGCAAGAAAAAACAGAGGGCACACAGGCCTAGTGCATTACCATAAAAAATGTTTAATAAAAAAATAAAGTATGTGTTGTACTCACAAACGACAATATAGTCAAGGCACATCATAAAGAACAGCTGGGTCAACACCGCGCTGAGTAACAGTCCGCAATAGGGAGTATAGACATCCAAAAGGCTGACGCGTTTCGAGGACTTGCCTCTTCCTCAGAGCTTCCTTCTTGCTCCAAGGCACCTGCCTGCCCAAGTGTATGGACTTAGGATTTAATTCATATGGACTTATTGGACTTGTTTCCCCATTCTTCTACTATTTAGCTTTGGTGTGCTTCTATCCATTTGTGGCTAATTTGCTTTTTTCACTGAAAATGAAAAAAAAATCTAGAATTTTTTTTTAGCAATCATTGGAACAAGAAAGGAGGGAAAATATTCCAATGGGACGCCTGTCCCACTGACAACAGTCTTAGTGATTTCCACTTATACCCTGTTGAGGTGCTTCCCTCTTCTTGTTTTCCTTCCACTTTCAGTCATCTGGGACAATACAGAGGGTGAATCTGCCAATCTGCCCAGTGGGGATGCAGGCAGCAATAAAATCATGAAAGGGGTTCTAACCCTTCCACATTCTATCTAAAACTTTTAGAAATTGCTTCACAATTCACTTTTATCTCTCCCATGATGTGTAAATATGACTGTTTTGCATAGCACCTTCTAGGGCAGTGGTTCTCAACCTGTGGGTTGCGACCCCTTTGGGGGTCGAACGACCCTTTCACAGGGGTCGCCTAAGACCATGGGAAAACACATATTTCCGATGTGTAAAGAGCAGCTACTGTGTAGAAAGCAGCTGCTGTGTTGAAAGAAGCTACTGTGCTAAAAGCAGCTACTGTGCTAAAAGCAGCAGTATTGGAGGTAAAATGACACTTCATGAATTATAATTACTGGGTAAATAATTTTATGGTTGGGGGTCACCACAACATGAGGAACTGTATTAAAGGGTCGCGGCATTAGGAAGGTTGAGAACCACTGTTCTAGGGGGTGAATGTGGAAAAGCATGAATGATGACCTTTTTATCATAAACTCTCCCATATAGCTGGAGTCCATGGTAATGCCGTACCTGCAAGTTTTGTCCCAGTTCAGAGAGGGGGTTCGACAAATCGCCAAAGAGAACAAAGGTGAGATCAGCAACAACTGATATAGACAGTTCCAGGACCAGACATTGCACTCTGCTGGCAATATCCTGCATGTCTGGTCAGGATCTTATATACCTTGGGTCTCCCAAATCCAAGGGTTCTCTGCTTAGCAAAAATGAATCGGATTTCCTGGTTGACAGGTTAGTCCTACCTCTGCAACTTCCTGGCCCAGATCTCTGATTGAAGCCCCACTGACCAATTGTAAGTTGCAGGAGGAGGCAGGGCTAAGTTGGTGACCCAAAACAAGATTCAGTGTTTGAGAACCTGTGACCATTATGGACCTGGGGTGGACTGACAATTCGAGCACTGCCCGAGGGCCCGAGTCAATAGGGGGCCCCATGAGATGCCCCTGGTACCTTTCATTGGCTTTTTCATAGGCTTTTTTGGGTGTGGGCAAGGACACAGGGGCCCCATGATCCCCTATTGCCCGGGGGCCCCATGAGTTGTCAGTCCGCCCCTGTTATGGACATTAAAGTGTTACTAAACCCACAACAGTACAATCAGTCTGTATATGTAGTAAAGCATGCTTGTTATACTCACTGTGGAACCTAAGGGGTTAATCCTCTGCATTGTGTAAAAAGGCTGTTTGATCTGTTCTTCTCTGCCCCTCCTCTTTTTTTTTAATTGCTTCTGCACATGCTCAGTTTAGTGTAGAGGTAGAGAAGTTTTTTTTTTCTTGGGAGAGTGTATGTGATCAGCACAGGGCCAATAGCACTGTCAAGACAGAGGTCAGAGGATTTCCATCCTCCTAGAGAAAACTCCTCCTACAAGCTTTAACCAGTGCTCAGCTGAAGTCACAAGATTGCTCTAACTGCTGATGAGAAAAGGTATTTAGCAGTTTATATTTACTAAAATAATTTCATTTACATGTTTTGTGTACTGTGGGAGACCAGAGAGAGTGAATGCAAGGTCCGGGGAGACCAGATATAGTGAATGCAGGGTCCGGGGGGACCAGGTCTAGTGAATGCAGGGTCCGGGGAGACCGGGTATAGTGATAGTGATGCGGGGTCCAGGGAGACCGGGTATAGTGAATGCAGGGTCCGGGGAGACCAGATATAGTGAATGCAGGGTCCGGGGAGACCGGATATAGTGAATGCAGGGTCCGGGGAGACCGGATATAGTGAATGCAGGGTCCGGGGAGACCAGATATAGTGAATGCAGGGTCCAGGGAGAGCAGATATAGTGAATGCAGGGTCCGGTGAGACGAGATATAGTGAATGCAGGGTCTGGGGAGACCACATATAGTAAATGCAGGGTCCGGGGAGACCAGATATACTGAATGCAGGGTCCGGGGAGACCAGATATACTGAATGCAGGGTCCAGGGAGAGCAGATATAGTTATATATATAATTTCAGTTCTGGAGGCTCAGCATCACATGTGGGTAATACCTAGGGTGGTCTACATGCAGATGCAGTCTACCTAGGAATGTCTACTCCTCCAGACTGACATGCACCCATCTAAGCATTTTTGGTATTTGCATAACTCTTCCCAAGAGCCATTCCACTGCTTGCATCAGGGCTGAGGCCTCTTGGAGGATTACTAAGGCAGGGGGTGCTGTGATGTTTTTTCAGGAAACTATGCACTGTGCCACCCCCTCCCATGGAACCTAGGGATGGCATCACTGGGTAAGATATGCAATGAAAATATAAAGTATTTATTTAAAACTGTCATTTCCATGTTGATGAGGATGAAAAGGAGAACAGGGAAGGCAAAATGAAAGTAGATCAAACTTCAGCTTTAGCCAGAAAACAAGCTTTGCAACAAGCACTAAGCAACCTCTGTAGCTGCAGATACTGTGGAGCAATTAATTCCCAAAGATCACTAGAGAGAATCTGACATTTGGTTGCAGTCAGATTCTGAACAGCTGCTGTTTATTTACATTAGAAAGCTGCCATTGTTAACTATTTTTTACAGCCATTTATATAGCTGACAATTTATGTGTCGCTTTACATACTATTCACATCTAGCTCTGCCCTCAATGAGCTTACAATCTATGGTCCTTCTGTCTCTCACACACACATATATCACACACACTGGGACCAGTTTAGACAGGAGCCAATTAACCTACCAATTAGATTTGGGAGGCGCGTGGTAGGAAACTTTTTTTTTTTTTTTTTCTTAAGTAGTTTTTAATAAAGTTTTGACAAAACATACAAAGCGAAAGAAACGCAAATCAAAATAGGATTGTAAACACCTCCTTTCATGCAGTTCTGGTATAATCAGACCCAGGTATCCTTGTGTGGGGTCTGTACTATTTTTATACGCCGTGTTTTGCAAGATTTTTTTTCGACTTTTTCTCTTTCAGTGTTGGGGGTGTTGAGTCTGTGTGATGGCCTTCGAGACGATATCCTGCCAGAACTTGGAGTGCGTCTGGAAGATCATGAAGGTAACAGAACGTGTTTTTTTTTTTTTTTTTTTTTTTTTTTCTTTTTATTCTTTTTAAGGCAGGACACCAGACAATCTGCTAGATACACAGTAGAAATACATACCCGTGTTTCCCTGAAAATAATACAGTGTCTTATATTAATTTTAGGTAAAAAAAATGCACTAGGACTTATTTTCGAGTAGTTATTTTTATTGACTTTTATTTATTTTTATTCACTTGGTGACACCCCCTCCGACGATCCCTGCAGGATGGATCGGATCTGCAGATTGAGCATAACGGATTGGAGTCCGATCCATTATCCTCCCCAATCCGCAGATCTGATCCATCCTGAGGGGATCGTCGGCTTGCAACCTAACTGATCTCTCCAGCAGCTCCACAAAAAGGCACATTTTAAAGCAAGCTCCCCCTCTCTCTGCCTTCTTCTCCCCCCCCAAACCCCCCCCTCCCTGCCCTCTCCCTCCCCCCCCCCCCCCCCCCCCCCCCCCTCCTGCCCTCTTCTCTCCCCCCCCCTCTCGCCCTCTCTTCTCCCGCCCTCTTTCCCCCCTCTCTGCCCCCTCTTTTCTCTCCCCCCCCCCCCCTCTGCCTCTCTCTGCCTTTCTTTCCTCCCCCCCCCCCCCGCCTTCTTTCTCCCCCCTTCCCCCCCGCCCTCTTTCTCCCCCCTTCCCCCCCCGCCCTCTTTCTCCCCCCTTCCCCCCCCCCTCTTTCTCCCCCCCCCCCCCCCCTCTTTCTCCCTTTTTCTCCCCCCCCCCCCCCCCCTCTCTGCCTTCTTTTTCCCCCCCTCCCCCCCCCCCCCTCTTTCTCCCCCCCCCCTGCCTTCTTTCTCCTTTGTCCGTCCGCCCCTCTTTCTCCGTCCCCCCTCTCTCTCCCCCCTACCTACTACATGAAGCTGCAGTGCTGTCACCAGGGTCGGGGGATTACACACTTACCTGCTGTATACTCTGCCCGCCCCTCCAGCACTCCGACTTCAGTACCCGTGGCAGGGATGTGGACCGGCCCCTCTGCTGAAACTCCGAAGAGGAGAGGTGTCCGAAGTGCCTGCCTCATTGTCCGTCCCCTTGCTTATTTCAGAAGCGGCACATACAGGGACGGACTGAGCCTCTCATGGGGCCCTGCAGTGACCCCGGGTCCTCGGGCAGTGCCCGAATGGTCAGTCCGTCCCTGGTGGAGGTAGGTCTTATTTTCGGGGGAGGGCTTATATTAGCGGTACGTCAAAAAGTACCGCTAGGTCTTACTTTTGGGGCAGGTCTTACTTTCGGGGAAACACAGTATATATTTACTGTTACAGCCCAAAGCTGGGTACACACAATGTGAATACAGCCGACATTCCGTCCATGTGTACAGCTGCCTGTCAAACGGAAGCTGATCTCACAAGCGGCTTCTGCCGAACGGGCATGCCAGGAAACCAGCATCTGACCAGCAGCGTGTCAGTGTCTCCAGCATTCAGTGTGTTCTGGCAGGGAGCGGGGGGCCAGTCCCCCTGTCAGATTACACAGGGTGGGAGTGTTATTTAGTGTTTATGGTGAAGAAATTGTGAAATTTTGGCATTGATATTGAAAATATGACTGATCGTGCCAAAAATGCTCTTTCATTGAAGGATGATGATCATATGAAGCCATTTATTATCAAATAGTTGTTTGGCTCCTTTTTAAATCATAATTATTATTATTTCAGGTACTTATATAGCGCCATCAATTTATGCAGCACTTTACATATATAAAGAGCAGGGCCCTCGAACCCCTCGTGTATTGTATTGTTACTGTCTTGTCTCATGTTCTGTCCCCCTTGCTACTGTACAGCGCTGAGCATACCCTTTGGCGCTATATAAATACTGTATAATAATAATAATATTGTACATTCACATCAATTTCCTAACCCTCAAGGGGCGTACAATCTAAGGTCCCTAACCCTCAAGGGGCGTACAATCTAAGGTCCCTAACTCGCATTCATACATACACATACTAGGGATAATTTAGACAGGAGCCAATTAACCTACCAGCATGTCTTTGGAGTGTGAGAGGAAACCGGAGTACCCGGAGGAAACCCACGCAGGCACAGGGAGAACATGCAAACTCCAGGTAGGTAGGTGCCGTGGCTGGGATTCGAACCAACGACCCTAGTACTGCCAGGCGGAAGTGCTAACCATTTAGCCACTGTGATAACAGAAATCACCCAAATGGCCTAGATCAGAAGTCTCCGCCCCCGGATCAGAAGTCTCCGCCCCCCCCTGGAATGTTTGGCCTTGGTACAGACACACAAGGTGACACACACGGGTTACAATGCCAATTAGAGGTTAATGTCCCACATCTGTGGCTTTTTAAATTGCAATTAGTGTCAGTGTATAAATAGTCAATGAGTTTGTTAGCTCTTACATGGAAGCACTGATTAGGCTAGATACTGAGCCATGGGGATCAGAAAAGAACTGTCAAAAGTCCTGCGTAACAAGGTAATGGAACTTTATAAAGATGGAAAAGGACTTAAAAAGATGTCCAAAGCCTTGACTATGCCAATCAGTACTGTTCAATCACCTAGTAGTGGAAAGTTCAGGGATCTCTTGATACCAAGCCAAGGTCAGGTAGACCAAGAAAGATTGCAGCCGTAACTGACAGAACAATTGCCCAGGATTCAAAGAAAAAACCCACAGGCAACCTCAAAAGAAATACAAAATCCTGCCTGTTCTCTATCTTTTAGTTTTTTAATTAAAGTTCCACTTTATAGGTAAAGTAAAGGTTACATGTAAGTGTGCTCAAAATGACTCCCCCCCCCCCCCCCCCCCTCCTTCTACCTTTGCTGTATACTGTTTGTAACCGTGACCTGTAAGTACTATTCTTTGATCTGCTCCAGTGCTGTTACATAAAGCAAGAGCAGCGGCTCCACTGCGTCATGGAGTTCCGGGAGCCGTGACATCATCCACCGGTTTCCATTGCCTCTCTATTATTGGTGCTCCCTCCTCTCCCCTGCAGCAGCTGCTCCACAAGGGGAGCTGCTTCTGCATCATGTGATTGCACTTGAGCACATTTTAGAAGGTATTTACACATATCTCTTTTACAAACAGTATACGGCATAGGAAGGAGGGGGGGGGGGGGGGAGTTAGTGTTTTTGAGCAGATGTATATGTAGCCATTAGTCTCACTTTAATTGTGTAAACATGTAGTGAGTACAAGTATACATGTAATAGTCTGTTTTCTCAGGTCTGCCAACGGTGGTCAAACTTATGGACAAAGAGACTCTGCTAAAGGAAAGGGAAGAAAAGAAAAAGGTAAATGAATCCATCCATTTAGTCATCATGAAAAATCACTATTATTTAGTTTAACCTCCTCGGTGGTCTGATTATTTCCGATTTTTTTTTTTTTTTTTTTTTTTTTTTGTGCTGAAAGCGGTACATTTTTTTTGCATGGAAATATGTAGTTTTTTTATTGTGGGCTGTAATTTTTAGGAATAACTCACTGAAATCTGTCCGAACAAGAGTCTAGTAAACATCCCGGGTAGGATAAAATTTGAAACACGAAATCATAAATTATAATTTAATAAATAATCATAAAAAATTATAATATAATAATAAATTTAATTCAATAATATAATCAAACCAAAAACACTGAAATTTGAAATACAGAGGCAAATTCACACATCGCTGAGCAAAGTCGCAAAATCGTTTTCAGTGTCTGATGAGGAATTTCCCCCACGAATCATTATCACTCAATTCTGCAAGTGGTTCTGATTTACTATCGCTGTTCTCTAGCCGGTCTAAAACCGCTTTTGACGTAAAGGGACGCTTTTTGGACGCCATGGACGTTTCTAAGTTTCCAGGCAGAAAGAACAGTAAAAATGCAGGCAGGGCGCCGGACAAAGCACTCGGGACAAAATGTATGTGAAATGCATTGAAACAGCAATGTTTTACTATGTAATAGTCATTTTTTAAAAAAAATTACATATTTTTAAAAATTTCTAATTTGCTGCCGGTTCCGGCGCCCGTACGTCCCGACGTCACAGGGACCGGAACACGGAAGCCGGATGCCGGCATCCGCCGGAGGAGATGGCCGGGGACGCTGCAGGGGACACATCGTGGGAGCAAAGGACAAGGTAAGTGCTGCAGGGACTCCCTGAGCAACACCGCAGGGTAAGCCCGAGTGTAGCTCGGGGTTACCGCTTGTGGTACTGAAATTTTACCCCGAGCTACACTCTGGAATACCACCAGGGGGTTAATGATAGTTTAGTAACTTTTTGTAATACCCATTAGCTCTCTGGGTAGTGTAAAATGTCATGTCCCGGCATGCCTCGTCACCAGTACATCCAAACCGATACAAAAATAGACCATTCAATAAACTGCATATAGAGACAATCACCGTAACCATGCTGCCTGAGCTTAAAGTGTTACTAAACCCACAACAGTACAATCAGTCTGTAGATGCAGTAAAGCATGCTTGTTATACTCACCTGTGTGTAAAAAGGCTGTTTGATCCTAACTGCCTCCATGAACAGAGGCAAGCTGCACATGCTCAGTTTGGTGTGTATTGCTAGAGAGTTTTTTCTTTTTCTTGGGAGGGTGCATGTAATCAGCACAGGGTCAATCAGCACTGTCCAGACAGAGGGTCAGGGTTATGTAGCCTCATAGGACAGTGAGAGGAGAATGAAAACTCCTACAAGCTTTAACTAGTGCTCTGCTAGACACTGACAGAAGTCACAAAATTGCTGATGAAAAAGGTATTTAGCAGTTTATATATACTAAAATAATTGCATTTCCATGTTCTGTGTACTGTGGGAGACCACATATAGTGAATGCAGGGTCCTGGGAGACCACATATAGTGAATGCAGGGTCCTGGGAGACCACATATAGTGAATGCAGGGTCCTGGGAGACCAGATATAGTGAATGCAGGGTCCTGGGGAGACCAGATATAGTGAATGCAGGGTCCGGGGAGACCAGATATAGTGAATGCAGGGTCCAGGGAGACCAGATATAGTGAATGCAGGGTCCGGGGAGACCGGATATAGTGAATGCAGGGTCCGGGGAGACCAGATATAGTGAATGCAGGGTCCGGGGAGACCAGATATAGTGAATGCAGGGTCCGGGAAGACCAGATATAGTGAATGCAGGGTCCAGGGAGACCAGATATAGTGAATGCGGGGTCTGAGGTTTAGTAACACTTTTTAAATGGTTCGACGACCTTAACAACGAATGCACCTTTTTTGCTCCCTTTTTTATCTGGTATTCATACCATTAATACATGGTATATCTGTTCAAAAAGTGCAAAAAAAAAAAAAACGTCGACCCTGCCAGAAATCCAGTGCTGTCCTGTGCAAGCAGCCCTGCCCAGTTCTTTTCTGTGAACTACAGAACAGTTCCCTCCCTTCACTATATTGACGAGGAGGGTCGTGTTCTGTAGTTTAACCTCTTGGCGCCGGCCGAACGCAAATGTGCGGCCTTTCGGCGTCTGGGCCTAGACGCCAAGCGTCTGTACATTTGCGTTCTATTAAAAGAAAACATATGTGCTGAGAGCACGTGCCCTTTGTGCTCCCAGCACACATGTTCGGTACTCACAGAAAGGTCCCGATCTCCTCTTTCGATCTGGACCTTTCCCGATCATGTGACAGCAAATCACGGTGGTCACATGACCCTAAAACCCCGTCTCCCGGATTCTGCAACCCTTACAGGGCCGGGAGGCATCGGCACCAAGGGATTAAAATACTTTTTTACTAGGGTGACAACACTGCACCTTCATAGATACAGTACGGTGAATGAGTGTCATCACCCTAGGACAGGAAGTGTGTTTATTGGCAGGATCATTGGATGAAAACCTGAAAATCTAAAAACTGGTAAGCTGCAATATGTGACATATTTGTCCTTGGGCTAAGAAACACGTGAACCTCTGGTCTGAACCTAAACTTTGTTCAAATATAAACTGTGATAAAGCTGATCTCCATTTTTCATTTAACTTTAAATAGTTTGGAGCACGTTGCAGTGGCTGGAAGCGCTGTATAAACAGTATGTAGCTTCTGATAGTGGGATGAGAACCTCCCGTACCGCGGCAATTCGGGCTGGGTGCTGTTCAGCCATTCAGAGGATGCTTTGTATTCTGTATTCCAGTTCCCGATGCTGTCCAGAGCCTTTTTTCATCATGAAAATGCATGCAAAGCGTTTTCAAGGTACTCAGATGGACAAATACACTGAACACAGGATGTTCCCACCAAGCTTGTCACACATTCTAATGACCAATTCACACCTCAGACCTCTCCCCCCTTGGAAACAAAAGATATGTTAATGACCATTCACACCTCAAATTCCTCCTGAAGACCCCCTCAAATTCCCTCCACCAGACCCCCTTTCCCACCCTTGGATATGTTAATGACCTTATTCCTCCTGAAGACCCCCTGCCGGTGGCCTTAACCACCTCCCGTCCGGCCGTTGCATATATAACGGCCGGACGGTGGCACTGCAGGGTCGGGTGGCCGTTTATGAACGGCCTCCCCGCACCCTGCTTGTGCGCGCTCCCTGGGAGCGCGCAGCACCGCGATCCGGTGCCCGCTGTGTCCTCCGGACACAGTGAAACACTGATCGTCGGACGGGACCTCTGTACGAGGTCCCAATCATGTGATCACTGATTGGCCAATCAGTGATCACATGCAAAGTAGTAAGCAAGATGTCACTTCTGACATCACTGCTTACTACGTGTGTGTGAATGATCACAGAGGTCACATGGTACAAGGCTATTCACAACAGCCTTGTACCATGTGACAAGCTGTGACCAATCACAGCTCACTCAGTACTTCTCAATGAGTGCAGGAATGCACACAGAGAGAAAGAGAAATGATTGCTTTTACATCCTATATGGGTGTAAAAGCAATCAGTGTAAAAAAAAAAAAAAAAAAAAAAAAAAAAAAAATCTTCATCACCCCCCACAAGTAGTACAGTGTCACCATGGTGACACTGTACTGCTAGGGTGACAGTATGTAAAAAAAAAAAAAATAATAATATAAAAAAATAAAAATGTAAAAAAAAAATGTTTAAAAATTATAATTTTTGGTTATAAACTAATTTTTTTTTTTTTTTTTTACTAAAAAGATAACGGAATAAATTTTGGCAAAGATTTATGATGAAATATTATTTATTTGCAAAATTTTATAAAAAAAAACACTTTAGTTTAAAATTTTTGGACTTTTTCATTTACATAGCAAAAAAAAAGCGGTGAATAAATACCACCAAAATAAAGCTTTATCTGTCTCAAAAAAAAGGTAAAAAATTAGTTTTGGGTACTGTTGCATGACAGCAATTGCATTCAAAGTGGGCGCTGAAAGCTGAAAATTGCCCTGGTCAGGAAGGGGGTAAAAGTGTCCGGACTGAAAGTGGTTAATGACTCCCTCCACCAGACAACCTTTCCCACCCTTGGAAACAAAAGAAATGTTAATGAGCAACTCACCTAATTATCTCAACACATACTGCTGTCTCTGCTGCTTCTACTACTCTCTGTATTTCTCTGAAACAGTCTGAAATAGTTAATAATTTACCACTTTTCAGTGCATTCTTGGCACTTTGGGAGGTTCTCCTGTGCTTATCTTTAAAAAAAAAACGCTTCTAAATGCAAACGGTATGCAAACGCAGCTAAACAGACATTTTTTAACCTACATTTTCCAGCAGTCAGTTTCCATCGTTCAGAAGTGTCCCGTGTACATGAGGCCTAAAATTCAAAATGTCCATGTTTGTGGGAAGTGTACTTTGTTTAGTCAAGAGATGATGTACATGAGTGTATGCAATTGCTGTGTATATGGAAGTTACTACAAAATGCTATTGCCTTCCTTACAGCAATAAATCTGAGCTTCCTTGTACATTGTTGTGTTGTTACGTTTTTGGGGTTGTATTCGATAAAGAGAGATCACACAAATATTTATCAGTATACAATACAAGCATAACCTAGAATAAAAGTAATGACAGATAACAAATATTAGAAAATATAACAATATTACTTAATTAAAGATGCTGTTTCTGTCACACAGTCCCATTTGCATGCTCAGCGTGGCACAGGTGATCAGACGGTTGCAAGCTTTGAAGACGAGACAATTTTCTAAGGCAGGGATGTCAAACTGGAGACCCTCCAGCTGTTGCAAAACTACAAGTCCCATCATGCCTCTGCCTTTGGCAGTCATGCTTGTAACTGTCAATCTTGCAATGCTTCATGGGACTTGTAGTTTGGCAACAGCTGGAGGGCTGCCAGTTTGACACCCGTGTTATAAGGGATAACTATAGTATGTAGATGTGTGTGTAAGGAATGGACAT